CTACCCAGGGGGAGTCGCTGCCTTCTTCCAGGGTGAGTTGGGGGATGAGTTGGGGCCAGGCCGGGTCTTCCTGGCAGAGATGGGGTTGTAGGGGTGTTGTGGGCAGGGCAGCAGGTTGCAGAGCAGTTGGGGGGGCTGGGCTTTACAGGCTGGTTTTGTTTTGAGAGACCCTCCCCACATGTTCATGGAAGGGGCAAAGGGAGCCAGCGTGGCGCCCCGAGCAGCCCAGTGGGTGTCCAGAGGAGCTGAAGGGCAAGGGGTCTGGGTTTTCTCCCAAAAAGGTGCTGTTATCTTAACTCCCGTAAGTCACAGGGAAGGAGGGAAAGGAGGCTCAGTTCACTGTCTGGGCCGCTGGCTGTTAAGGCTCCCACCCCCCCCCCCCAGAAGCTGCTAGTCTGGGGTTCAAGCATCACAGCCCCCTCTGGAGCCCCCAGTGGAGGTTCCACACCCTGGTGCAGAGCCAGGGGCTGGGAGGGAGGGCAGGGGGGAGGACTGCATGTGAGGTCCCCCTTCCCGCAGACATGAAGCAGGGCCTGCTGTCGGTCGGCATCGGCGGGCGGGAGTCCCGGTCAGGCTGCCTGGACGTAGAGAAGGGTGAGTCCCTCTCGTGCTGAGGCACAGAGGCGCCTGCCGATGGTGTGACCATTCACTATTGGGACCGGGCTGGGGGCTCCTGGCGTGGCGTGGCCTGATGTGTTGTCTTCTCCCCCCAGACTGCTCCATTACCAAGTTCCTGAACCGCATCCTGGGGCTGGAGGTGCACAAGCAGAACGCACTGTTCCAGTACTTCTCTGACACTTTTGACCATCTCATCGAGGCAGACAAGAAGGAGGGCAAATACGACATGGGAATTTTGGGTGAGCCCACACAGCCATGGGTGGGAGGGGAAGCACCCAGGAAGCAGCCGAGGCTGGGAGGCTGGCACTGGGGCAGGCTCTCTTGTGACTGGAACAGCTGCCCTGAGCGTCACTGCTGGGGTGTACCCCAGCCCACAAAATCGAGATGGGGCCGGGCGCGGTGGCTCACACCTGTAATCCTAGCTCTCTGGGAGGCCGAGGCGGGCGGATTGCTAGAAGTCAGGAGTTCGAAACCAGCCTGAGCAAGAGCGAGACCCCATCTCTACTATAAATAGAAAGAAACTAATTGGCCAACTAATATATATAGAAAAAATTAGCCGGGCATGGTGGCGCATGCCTGTAGTCCCAGCTACTTGGGAGGCTGAGGCAGCAGGATTGCTTGAGCCCAGGAGTTTGAGGTTGCTGTGAGCTAGACTGACGCCACGGCACTCACTCTAGCCTAGGCAACAAAGCGAGACTCTGTCTCAAAAAAAAAAAAAAAAAAAAATCGAGATGGTCCCTCACCAAGCCCAGAACCTGGAATGTACCAAGCCACACCCAGGCCGGCCCACCCCATCCACAAGTACCTGCCACACACCCAGGGAGGGAGGAGCTCCTGCCGTGCCCCGCCCCCAGGTTCCCACCACACTCACCACCGCCTCCCCCCAGACCTGGCTCCTGGCATTGACGAGATCTACGAGGAGAGCCAGCAGGTGTTCCTGGCCCCTGGGCACCCGCAGGACGGGCAGGTGGTCTTTTACAAGGTGAGCAGCAAGCCCCCCCACCCTCAGCCCCCACCCCAGGGCCCAAGACGCTAATGCCCTGACGTGCCATGGCAGATCAGCGTGGACAGAGGCCTGAAGTGGGAGGAGGCATTCGCCAAGTCACTGGAGCTGACCGGTCCCTATGATGGCTTCTACCTCTCGTACAAGGTGGGTGGCTGTCTGTGATCCCACAGTGCCTGGGCCTCTGCACTCGAGGCAGGGCCAGAGGCGTGGTGAGGGAGTCAGTCCTGCCATGCTACCCCTGGAGTCTCCACTTGTAGGGACGGGGGGGAGCCAACAAGTTCGGGGGGACTACGGGGACAACTGACCTCACCTGGCCCCTTCCCCAGGTTCGAGGCAATAAGCCCAGCTGCCTCTTGGCTGAGCAGAACCGCGGCAAGCACTTTACCGTGTACAAGCCCAACATTGGCCGGCAGAGCCAGCTGGAGACCTTGGACAGCCTGTGCCGCAAGTTCCACCGGGTAGGGGCTGGGGCGGCCGGGTGGGGCAGACCTCCTGGGACTGTGGCCTCCGGCTCTGGGCCTCCAGCCCTCCCCTCCCTGCAGGGCCAGAGCCCAGCTCACCAGTTTCCCAGTTGTGCACCCTCTGGCCAGAGGCCACCACAGGGAGTGGTGGCCATGCCGAGCCTGACGGGGCCTTGTGTCCCCAGGTTACTGCGGAGGCAGCCAAGGAGCACTGGGAGAGTAACTACGTCTTGTCGCTCACGCACTGCAGCCACACCGCGTGGTGAGGGCCGCACGGCATCTGGGGCACCCTGGGAGGAAGGCACCTGGGCACGGGGGTGCATGGGGGAGCAGGGGCCCTAGGACCCGTCTGAGCTGCCTGTCTGACCCTCGCAGGAACCGGCACTGCCGGCTGGTACAGGAGGGCAAGGACTGTGTGCAGGGCCTGCGGCTGCGGCACCACTACATGCTGTGCGGGGCGCTGCTGCACGTGTGGGGCCGCATTGCCGCCGTCATGGCCGACGTCAGCAGCAGCAGCTACCTGCAGATCGTGCGTCTCAAGACCAAGGACAAGAAGAAGCAAGTGGGTGAGTGGGCTGTGGAGGGGGTGTGCCAGGCACCCCAGGGCACAACCTGACCCCTGACCCCATGTCGGCCCTGTCCCCGCCCCCAGGCATTAAGATCCCCGAGGGCTGCGTGCACCGTGTGCTGCAGGAGCTGCAGTTGATGGATGCCGACGTCAAGCGCAAGGTGCGGGGCCAGGGCTTCCCTGCGCCACCCAACCTGTGTCCACTTGCGCTGTCCTGTGGGCCAGGCGAGGTCCTGGACCTCACCTACAGCCCACCCGCCGAGGCCTTCCCACCTCCCTCACACTTCGCCTTTCCCCCGCCTCTGACCTTGGACCCCAGTCCTGGGCTGTTGCTGGGCACCCCCGATGGCCCTGCCGACCCTGCAGCTCTAGCGCACCAGAGCTGCGACATCAACTTCAAGGAGGTGCTGGAGGACATGCTTCGCTCCCTGAATGCCGGCCAGCCTGCCGAGGCCCAGGGCCCGCTGGGAGACGCTGCTGGCGTGGCCGGGGCTGGGGGCCCCGAACGGCGGAGCGTCATCCAGTTCAGCCCACCTTTCCCGGGCTCCTAGGCTGGGCGTCCTCTCCAGACTTACCTTTATTTATCTGTAATGTGCCCACCTCCCAGGGACAGTTCTCTACTACCATGGCCAGCAGGGCCAAGGCCCCCTGACAACTGCTCAGAGCCCGAGGCCTCGCTGCAGTGCCTTCCCTGCCCAGACCGGCCCTGGAAGGTCTGGTGGGGCCGATGTGTAGATGCTGCCGGCCCCGGGCCCTCATGCCCTGCCTGGGGATCGCTGCTGTGTGCTGGCCCCACTCAGGATGCCTAGGGGGCCAGGGCCCCAAGGCAGGGACTGGGGGCTGGGCCCTCTCTGTGCCTCTCCTTTCTGCCCCCCAGGAATGGGCAGGGGGCTCTGGGCCCCAGCTCTATTCCACCCACCTACAAGGGATGGCCAGGCCCCAGCCTCTGAAATCCATAACTGGGTGGTCCCAAGAGCTAGAAACTCAGGAAACCCCAGGTGCTCAGGGCCCCACCTTCTGGGGGGCCTCTGTGGGGCAGACCCCCATTAATATATGCAATTCCTCCTCCCCCACCCCCCTCTCTGCTCCCTAAATTATTGCCTGTTCACCTCTCCAGGTCTTCGGAATCTGCCAGAGGAGCTGGTGGGGTGGGCAGCCCTTTGGTTTCTACGTGTATTTATAATGAATTCTAATGTGTATATATATGTAAAGAGATCTTTTTTAAATATATGTGCCTTTTACCTACTTCCCACATTGTCTGCTTCTCTGGCCTGCTTGGGGGAACAGGAAGGGTGGGGACCGAAGCCTGTGGAGCTCCCCCTACAGGTTCTCTTGTTACAAGGGCTCATTGCAGCCCACGCAGTGGCTCTCGCCTGTAATCCTAGCACTCTGGAAGGCCCAGGCGGGAGGATTGCTTGAGCTCAGGAATTCGAGACCAGCCTGAGCAAGAGCAAGACCCTGTCTCTACTAAAAATAGAAATTGGCCAACTAAAAATATAGAGAAAAAATTAGCCGGGCATGGTAGCGCATGCCTGTAATCCCAGCTACTCAGGAGACTGAGGCAGAGGGATTGCTTGAGCCCTGGAGTTTGAGGTTGCCATAAGGTAGGCTGACACCACGGCACTCCAGCCCAGGCGACAGAGCGAGACTATCTCAAGAAAAAAAAAAAGAGCTCATTGCCTCCCCTACCAGGCTCCGTGGGGATGAGGTGAGGGCTCCAGGCTGGGGGAGACAGACCCCACCCTACTCTAGTGTCTGGGCAGCCATCTATGAATTGTCCATGCCAGGGCCTAGGACCCTCGTGCTGGCACTCTGGGACCAACTCTATAGACGCACACCCCTTGGCAGGCTTGTCGGCTCCTTCCTGCTGCAGGCGGGGAGCCTGTGCCCTTCCAAGATGGACTCTGGAGAAGCCACCCCAGCCTGCTCTGCGTCCACAGTCCACACACTCTGGGCCTAACCTTGTCCACACCACCAGGCCAGGCCGTGGAGCAGCCTCCCTCAACCTGTGCTTCCATCCCCTGGGGAGGACAGAGGCCCTGCAAGCCCCAAATAGCTGCTAGCTGCTGCCTCCCTACCTCCAGGGAGGTAAGTAAGGCCCTGGGCCAGGAAGAGTAACCACTGGAGAATTATCTCCTCTAGGAATCAGCCCTGCCCACACCCCCAGCAGCCCTGGCCCAGAGGGTGGGGCTGTGGGGATTAGGAGCCTTAGCCCCAGCCCAGACAGCGCAGATTAGCTCCAGGGCCAGGTGCAGCCCTCTCAACCCCCAAGGGAATGCACCCCCATCCCTCCCTGCACCAGCGAGACCTGGGGCAAAAGGGCTGTCCCCAGACAGGATGACCAAGTAGGCCCATTTCTTTGTTTTATTCTCACAAGGCAGCCAAGAGAGGGGCACCGAGCGAGCCCAGCGGGGCTACGGGACCTTCCTCCGGCGGTTGCACGCCGGGTTCTCGGGTCTGCCCCACCCTCAGTAGGTTTATAGGCAGACCGTCATGGGTGCCGGGTGGAAGGTTCCGGGGGCGCAGGCAGGGGGCTCGGGTGGGGGCACGCACTTGTGGAGCTAGAGATAGCAGGTCAGGTCCTTCTCTATCACCTGTTGGAAAGGAGCGGGTTAGGATCAGCTTCTCCCCTCACCCCACCCCACCCCGGAGGGCTCCCCAAAGATGCACCTACCAGGGGCTCCTCCATGGGACCATACCGCTTCACCACGCAGCCGTTCTTGTCAATGAGGAACTGTAGGAGGGACAGCATTGGTCCCCTGGAATGGGGGAGACCTGGCAAGGGGCTGGGGCTGCCCTCCCCGCCTGCTGCCCTTGGGGCCCCTGTGCTGTGGCTGAGGGGCACCCGGTGGCACCCTGAGACTCATTCTGGAGCTGGCCTGCTCGTAGCCCTGGCCCCTTTCTCTCCCCCACCCCCAAACACAACCCCCATACCTTGGTGAAGTTCCACTTGATGGCACTACAAAAAAAAAAAACCGCAAAGATGTCAGGAACCCCCGAAAGCTGCCCCCACACCCCTACCCCAGGAGGGTCACTCACTTTCCCAGGATGCCCCTGCCCTTGGGCTGGACTTTCATCCACTTCCACAGCGGGTGGGCGTCATCCCCGTTCACACAGATCTTGCTGTACATATCGAATTTGACGTTATAGCCGGCAGCGAACTCTTTGATCTCTGCGTTAGATCCTGGCTCCTGCGGTGCCCACAGGTGTGCACGTGAGTGGGAAGGGGCCTGCACACCCACTCAGAGACCCTCTCCTCCCTGTCCCCTCCTTCACCCGCCCTGGCCTTGCGGGGACCACACACCTGCCTCCCAAACTGGTTGCAGGGGAAGGCCAGGATCCGTAAACCGCACTCAGCGTATCGGGCGTGCAGGTCGACGAGCTGAGTATAGTTTACGTCGGTTTTGCCTCATTGCGAGGCCACGTTGGTGACGATGCACACGTAGCCCCTGCAGGAGGTCCAGTGGTAAGCGGAGGTCAAGGTTAGGGTTAGTCCCCTCCCAGCCCCGACCCTGCACATCCGCTGACTGGGCGGGAACCCACCGGTACTTGTCCAGGCAAACCATGTTCCCATCGATGTCCTTGGCTGCAAACTCGTGCAAGGAGCGCGCACAGCGCCAGTCGTCGCGGGAGGCGCACTGCAAGGCAAGGGACGAGCAGCGGAGCTCAGGGGGGCAGCCCGCGGCCACCGGGCCCACTCACCAGCCCGGGGACCCCAGGTGAGAAAGTGATGCTGGGCGGGTCAGCGCCAAGGAAGCCAGGGCCCTGGGGCTCATAAAAGGGGACTGCTCTGTGCATGCCCCCCGGCGCCTCTGGGCCCATTTTACCGGAGACCTTGAGGCGGGGAGAACTCGGGACCCTGAGAGGTGCTATAGCGGGTGTGGGGGCCCCGCGCGCACCGGGTCCTGGCACTTTGCCGTGGAGATGGCCCGCCTCGGGCTGCGAGGACAGGGCTCCTTCCGCCGGCGGCGCGGTCTCTTGCGCAGGCACGCCGGGGCCTTCCGCCGCCGAGGGCCTCGGCGCTGCCGGCCGCCCGGGCTGTGGGGCTGCTGCCTGCGGCGCCCCGGGGAGCCCGCGCCCGCGCGGCCCATGCCCGCCCCTCTTCGCCTTGCCTGGGCCCACGGAGGCCGCACTCCGGGACAAAAGGCCCGTAGTCAGGGCGCCGGGGACTGGCGACTGTGACGCCACCTCTGTGGGCCCCGGGGGCGGGGGCGGAGCAGCGCCGCCCGGGGAGCGTGACCCGGGGTTTTCAGCCCTTAGTGCACCCTGACTCACCCCCCAAGCTAGGGCGCCCACCCCGCTGTTCCGGCACAGTAGTCCCAGCTTGGCCCGGGGACACCCAGCCGGGCCCCCAACGTCCCAGTGCCCTGCCCCCGCCGTCCGGGACACTGCGCCCCGACCCCCGCCGCCCGGACTCTGCCCCCGGCCGGGGCCCCGACCCCAGGCCACTGGACATTAGCCCCGACCGGGCCCCGACCCTCGTCCCCTGGACATTGCCCCGCCCGGGCCCCGACCCCCACGCCGACCCCAGCCCGCTCGCCGACACCGCCCCAAGCGCGGTCACCGCCTCTGCCGAGGCCGCGGCGGGTGGGGGTAGGGGTGGGGGAGGGGGCGATGCGGCCGGACGCCCCCCGCCAAGGTCACGGCGGCCCGAGGGCTCTGCGCGCCTCTGGGCGGGGCAGGGTCGCGCGCCAGGCTCAACGGCCCCTGGCCCAACCCGGGGCGCAGCGCCCACTCACCATGGTGCCGCCCAGGCCGGGTGCTGCCAGGGCCCCGCACAGCAGGGCCGGCTTCAGCAGGCGGTACAGACGGCTGAAGCTCATAGCGGCGGCGGGGCCTGCGGGAGCCAGCGGCTCCTCCCCTCGCCGAGCCGACCAATGTACACGCGCCGGCGTGCAGTGCCTCCCCGCCCTCGGCCACGCCCACCAACGCTCCCATTGGTCTGCCGTGGACGCGCGCTGACTTCAGCCAATGGGAGGGCGGGAGGGGGCCGGGGCGGGGCCGGACTGCGGCGGGGGGGCTTATTGTTGTCGGTTACTGCGCATGCACGCCGGCTGGCGGGAGGCCGCGTCCACGCAGGCGGCGCGTTCCGAGGCTGCGGGCAGTTATCCGGGCGGTTGACCGCAGCGCGCAGGGATGACGGAAAACGTGAAAAGACACCGGGGTTAGAGGGACTCGAACTCCTTGAAAAGCCACCGCAGCTGTTTGAAAATTGAGATTTGGTTTTTTAATGTAAATAAAACCAAAGTGAGTGGAGCCAAGTCCGCGCGTCCAGGGACCCCCCTGACCGTGGCCCCGAGTTCTGGGGCCTCCCCGCCGCCACCCCGTCCATGGCAAGGGCCGCTGTGGCCGCTCATGGGAGTGACACGTGGATCGTGGGGCACTAGGACAGTTAACGGGCAGCCCAGGAGGCCGTTCTCTGTGGTCCTCTCGGATTGACAGGTGCGCCTGGCAGATGGCAGAAACCTGGGGTTCAATTTAGCCTCTGCCACCGCGGGGGATGCTCCCTCTTGGCTCTGGTGTTCCCTCAGGGCTCAAGCACTTGGTGCCAGAAACACACCCTCATTCTTGGGGCCTGAGTCAGGGCCCCAGTTGACCGAGCCCCCTGGGCCATGGCTGGACTGTGATCCGTGGGCAGGCAGGTGTCCCAGCTGATCTCCTGGCTGACTGTCCAGTGGCGTCTCAGCAGAGGTGGCTGGAGCAGGGCTGCTGGTCTGGGCTCATTGGGGGGCACCTGTGAGACCCCAGACCCACCCCCAGGCCGGGCCAAGGGTGGGCAGGGGTGTCTCAGATGGATGAGTTTGGTGGCAAAAGCAAAGGAGTCGGGATCCTGGTGCCAAGTGGTCACATCCCTGGTCTTGCACAAGCCAGTTCAGCCCTGTCCCGAGGCCCAGTTGTCTGGCTTCTTGGCAGGCATCCTCCATTGTCTCCTGGGGCCACCTCCCTTCTCAGGAAGCCCCTATAGCCCCATTTCCTCACCATCCTGGCAGTGCCGAGTGAAGCCACCACACTGGTCACTCTGTTTGCGTGCCCTTACGCAAGCTCAGCTGCTTCCAGTTTTGCTGGAGTTGTTTTCCACACTGGCACACACGTGTGCACTGAAACGGCTGTTTATTTCAAGGGTGCCAGAAAAGCAGCTCAGGGCCCACACCTCGCCCGGGCTGTTAGAAGGACAGAGTGGGGGCTTCAGCGGCCGAGCTCTGGGAAGGATTTGCGTCTGGGGTTTCACGGCTTCTCCCAGAGTGACCCCATCTTACAAACAGGGAAATGAAGTTTGGGCCGGTGGAATCTCTCGAAACTTCAGCCGGGCTTCCCTGTGGTGGCAAAAGTTCCTGCGTGTCCCCTGGCGAGGAAGCTGTGCCTTTCCAGAGCAGCCACCAGCTCCCGGAAGGACGGGGACAGGGCCTGTCCTGTGGCTTGGTTTCTTCTTTCTAAAAAAGTTCTTGAAATTGAGATAAAATGCACAGAATATAAAATTCATCATTTTAAAGTGTGCGATTTGGCGTTTTTAGTATATTCACTATGGTGTGCGACCATGACCCGCATCTCATTCCAGAACATTTTCATCACCTCAAAAGAAGCCCCGTCACTCCCTATCAGCAGTCACCCCCCATCCCTCCCCAGCCCCTGGTGACCACAAATCCACTTCCTGTTTCTGTGGCCCTGCCTGTTCTGGACGTTTCATATAAACGGAGTCTCACACTGTGTGTCCTTCTGTGTCTGGCTTCTCTCACTGAGCACGATGTCCTCAAGGTCCAGCCACGCTGTGGCCTGTGTCAGAGCCCCGTCCCTTGTTATGACCGAGTGATGTTCCACGTGTGGATGGGCCACTTCATGTGTCCCCATCATCTGTGGATGGATGTTCGTGTTGTTTTCACCCTTTGGATTGCAATGCTGTAGGAGTTTTTGTGTGGGCGTACGTTTTCATTTCCCTTGCGTGTTTACCCAGGAGTAGAATTGCTGGGTCATCTTATGTGTAACTGTTTGAGGATCCACCAGGCTGTTTCCCGCAGCAGGAGCTGCACCATCTTTCATCCCCACCCACACTGTATGGACGGTGGCCTGGCCTCTGGGTCTCGGCTCTGCCGGGCAGTACAGCATGGGGAGTGGAGGAGCAGGTGCCACCCTGAGTCCTGGTGCTGGTGGTTGCGGGTGAGGAAACCCGGAGACCACAAGGTCACCAACAGGACTCTGATCATTGGGGTGCTGAGGCCTGCTGGCTCCCCAGAGCCATCCCTCCTCTCTGTCCCCCCACCTCCTGCCTGACCATCCAGGCTGCCCCTTGGCTGGGGCCTGGCCTCTCTCAATCAGCCCCCACCCCTGGGTGCCCCAGCACTCCTGGGTCATAACTGCATCAATCCCAACACACTTTCTCCCATCATAAAGTCCACTCCTAGCTGGGCGAGGTGGCTCACACCTGTAATCCTAGCACTCTGGGAGGCCGAGGTGGGAGGATTGACTGAGGTCAGGAGTTCAAGACCAGCCTGAGCAAGAGCGAGACCCTGTCTCTACTAAAAATAGAAAAAAATTAGCCGGGCATGGTGGCGCATGCCTGTAGTCCTAGCTACCCAGGAGGCTGAGGCAGAAGGATCACTTGAGCCCAGAGTTTGAGGTTGCTGTGGGCTAAGCTGATGCCACGGCACTCTAGTCCAGGCAAGAGAGTGAGACTCTGTCTCAAAAAAATGTAAAGTCCGATCTTGAGCCCTGCCCTCCTCTGGCATTGGCCTCTGCCCCACCCACACCCCGTGCTTCTAAGCCACATGTCTGATTCCTCTCCTCCCATAAACCAACCCCCAGCCAGGCTTCTGTCCTCTTCCCTGAGTCTGATCTCTTCTTGGTCACAAGCAGTTTCTGCTTGGCTAATCCCCTGCTCCATCTTCAGGCCGACTTGGCAGTTTGGTGGCATTTGGCAGTTGCTCCCTCCCTTGGCCTCCAACACTTTCTTCACCTGGTTTCCAGGACACCTGGCAACCTCCCTCCCCTTATTCTATATAAGGAACAGTTAGTTATGCAACGCCGGCACCAGTGCTCTTCTGAGCACACTGCAGTGACAAGCCAGTCGCCCTGTGAAGTGGGTGCTGTTTTTGTCCCTGTACAAGGAGAGGGGAGGGAGGGGTGGGACACAGAGTTCGAGTCACGTGCCTGAGATCACACAGCCCAGACTAGACCTCCACTTCAGGCTCTGTGCTGAGCCTCCCTTCCCCCTCAGAACGTCAGCCAGGCGGGGCTCAGGCCCCGGACTCTGCTCTGCCCGGGGACCTTGTCCAGCTCGGGGCTCTAATCTCCATCATGTGCTGACAACACCCACACATCTGTCTCCAAGACCTTGCCCTGAACTCCAGAATCCTATCCCAGCACTGCCACCACGTCTGCCCCGGAGGGGCCCTGGGGAGCCCCTCACTCACCACATCCAAGAGCCCACTCTTGATCCACCCCTGGCACCCCCCATCTTCCCACTTATGGTGGGGACAGCTTTGTTCCCTCTCCTTCCCTCCACTCTCCCTGCTTTCTCATCCTTCCCGGGCCTTAAATCTGCAACCTTGCGGACTCTGCCTTCAGAACACAACACGCAGGACCTGCCCCAGCTCTCCCATGCCCTAGGCAGAGCCACCCCACCTCTGCCTAGAAGGTCGCCCCATGCCCCTCCCTGATTTCTTGCTTTTGCCCTGGATCCCAAGAGTCAGTTCCCAATACACCAGCTCCAAACATTGCAATGGCTGGGGGAAAGAAACCCCGAACTTACCACCCTGACTGGGAGGCCTTACCATTCTGCCCCTCCTTCGCACAGGCCACCTGGCTGGCAACACCCGGGCAAGTCTAGCCTCAGGACCGCTACCCCACACACCTTCCTCCAGCACCCCTGAGGCTCACTCCCTCTCCTCTTGGAGGTTTTTGGTTGAATCTGTCCTGGCTGTGTTCCCCGACCTCCCATTTCCTACTGCAGGCCTCCCCTTCTCCCCACCTCCCTGAGCCTGCTGTCTTTTGCCACAGCATTGTCGCTTTCTAACATTGTCATTTATTTGTTGTTGTTTTTGAGAGAGGTTCTTGTTCTGTCCCGTAGGCTGGAGTGGTGCTGTGCTACCATCACAGCTCACTACAGCCTCCAACTCCTGCGCTCAAGTGATCCTCCTGCCTCTGCCTTCCAAAGTGCTGGGATTACAGGCATGAGCCACAGCACCTGGCTATCATTTATTTATCGGTGTGAGCCACTGCACCTGGGTATCATTTTATTAATTCACTGTTTTTCTAATGCTCTCTCTCCCTAGAGTGCAAGAGGTGCCTGGCTTGTTCTGTTCACTGTCCCTGTGGGTGACTCAGTAAATGTTTAATTAGTTGGATGGATATGTCACTGAATGAGAAGTTGCTGATCTTGGCTGGGCATAGTGGCTCACGCCTGTAATCCTAGCACTCTGGGAGGCCGAGGCAGGCAGATCGCTTGAGGTCAGGAGTTTGAAACCAGCCTGAGCGAGACCCCATCTCTACTAAAAAAAAAAAAAAAAAAATAGAAAGAAATTAATTGACCAACTAAAAATAGATATACAAAAAATTAGCCGGGCATGGTGGCGCATGCCTGTAGTCCCAGCTACTTGGGAGGCTGAGGCAGGAGGATCGCTTGAGCCCAGGAGTTTGAGGTTGCTGTGAGCTAGGCTGACGCCACGGCACTCACTCTGGCCTGGGCAACAAAGTAAGACTCTGTCTCAAAAAAAAAAAAAAAAAAAAAAGAAGTTGCTGGTCCTTCTACTAAGGCAGCAGGCACTGGGCCAGGCGGCCTCTTTCACGGACTTGGGGACAAGGTGAGTGTAAAGTTTTCCAGTGGCGAAAGAAACAGAGAGAGAGGGAGAGAGAGAGTAGGGCAGCAGCGAAAAGACAGAGATAGAGTGGGACCAAACAACTTGACTTTATTATGTGCTCCCAGATTAGGTTCTTGGGTCCCAAGAGAGGGGGAGGGCCCAAGAAGTTGCATCTGTTTGAAGGGGGTGAGGTCTTTTATACAGTTTGGGCCAGGCTAGGGACTTTTGGCGGGAAGATCTGGGGATTTTCCACTGTGGTCTTTGCTCATTCTTGAGAAATGGGAGGGGCTGGTGGTGTCTGCAGATTCCAGGAGGAAGGGCTGGTGGTGCCTGGCAGTCGTTTTTGGTGGGTCTGGTCAGTGAGCCTGTTCTCTTTTTTCTCTAGGGAGGGGAGGGGGCCTGCCACCAGCCTTACAGTGAGGAGTGCAGCAAAGATGGGACCATCTGGGGTAGGGGAGCTTCCCCAGCCAGGGAGGAGACAGAGGGCAGAGTTCGTCATAAGCACCTGGAGCTACACCACGCTCTCCTCCAGATCCCCAGTTAACCCTCTATAGTAGGGGCACTTTATTATCTCCATCGCTCAGAGGGGGAAACTGAGGCTAGCGGGCATTAACGTGGAGGTGGTCCAGAACCGACTGAAAGACCCCCATACGATGTGATGCACAAATGTTTACGGCGTGCTTATTAGGTTCCTTGACCGCACCGAGGAGCCAGGCCTCAGTTTCCCCGTCCACACCTCGTCTTCGTCCCTGGAATTCTAAACTGCCGCCCACCACAGGGAGTTTGGCAGAAACTACAACTCCCGGCAGGCTTAGCGACCAAAGCCACGCGAGAACTGCGGGGGTGGTGAGTGTCTCGCGCAGCCAACCGCCGCTCTCGGCTTGCTCGGGTTGCCCTTGGCGCTGCCGGTTGCGGACGTCTCTGCGTTCAGGCGTTCGCCGCCGACAGCCCTACCCAGGGGGCGGGATAAAAGCCTGAGCGGGCTTCGGCGTAGGCGCAGTCCGCGGGGTCCTGACTGGCGCGTGTGTAGCTGTTGCGAGCAGCGGCGGCCATGGACGACGAGGAGGAGACGTACCGGCTCTGGAAGATCCGTAAAACCATCATGCAGGTTCGGCGCGTGGGTGCCCAGCGGAGCGAACGCGGCGTGGGGGGCGAACGGCACGTGCAAAGGCCCGGGGAGGGGTCTCCTCCCGCCCCCGCCCGAGCTGCTGGAGTGGAGGGTCTGGCGAAGACGCAGGTCCTCGAGGCCGCCCCCCGGCCCCGGTGCCGGGTCCGCCCAGGGCTAGCGGAGCCCACCCGAGCCGGCATCACGGAGGGACGGGGGCCTGAGCGCGGGCGCACCGCAGACCCTCCTCCGCTCTGTTTCCCCCTTGCGCTTTTTGTGCTTTAGTCCTGAACCTGTTGTCATCCCCTGAGGCTGGGGGAGTTTGTCCCTGGGAGGCAGCGGCCGAGCTGGGGCTGGACGTGGAGGCAGCTGGCAGGGGCAGCTTGGCGCGGAAACGGGGCAAATGCCTGGGAGCCCTTCGTTCTGGGTGCTGCTTCAGACCTGGGACTCGTTGGGTGGCCTGAAAATGACCCAGTGGAGAAAGAGGATAGCCTTTACTTTGCCCGACCTCCCCGTCCCTGCACCACTGCTCTTTTCCTCCGTGAAGCCCCCCACGGCCTGATTCTCAGTTCTCAGGGACCGGAACCCTGTCAGCCTGTCTTTAGGGAGCTTGGAGAGGTTGAGAGGGCTGGATGTGCCTGCTGGGTTTAGACCTGGCCGGATTCTTGCGAGTCACCTCTGTGAGCCTCTGCAGGTCACACTAGTCCTATCTCATAGGGTGGCTATAGGGACCAAAGGGTGTCACACAGGAAGTCCTCACCCAAGTTGCCGTTGCTGGTCTGTCCTCCTCTGTGGCAGCCATGTCTGGGCCAAAGGGTTAGCACTCCGCAGGAGCTCTTGCTGCCCTCCCCTCTGCCAAGGGGTCAGCTGGGTCTTTCTCTTTGCAGCTATGCCATGACCGTGGCTACCTGGTGACCCAGGATGAGTTGGACCAGACACTGGAGGAGTTCAAAGCCCAGTTTGGGGACAAGCCTAGTGAAGGGCGGCCGCGGCGCACAGACCTCACCGTCCTGGTGGCCCACAACGACGACCCCACCGACCAGATGTTCGTCTTCTTCCCAGGTGAGGGTCCTCCCCTGCTGGTCTTGGGCAGCAGTGTGTCTGTCCCTGTTATGGTGAAATCATCTGAGCACCTATTCAGGTGCCCGGTAGCACCCACCTGAGTAGCCCAGAGTCTACACCAGCCTGGGAGAAAAGCTCCCCTCCCCCTTTTTGTCGTAGGTGATGCTGTTGACCTCTGACCCTTGTGATGGTCAGCATCTTTTCCTCTTTTCCAGTTTCCCTGTCCTTGGTGTCCTTCCTTCCTTGAGCATTCTCTCCAGCCAAGAGTACCCCAGGGGCCTCTCTCCTGGGGCCCAGCACCCACCTGCTCGCCTGTGTGGCCTAGCATACAGGGCTCCGTCTCCTGGGGCCCAGCTTTGTTGTAGAGTTTGGTGCCTAATCACCCACCTCCCCAGAACCAGCCTGGGGTCAGGGGTCTCCCTGGAGTCGGAGTTCACTGTTTCACTTCCTGGTCTCTGGGTGACGGTAGGGTGTCAGCTCCCTGCCTGGGCCCTGCAGGTCAGCCTCATTTTGCACAGCGTGGAAGTTGAGGGGAAATGGCTGACCTCAATCAGGGCTAGAACCCAGATGCTTTGGAGCAGGGTGTGGGGGCAGCAGGAGGGATCCCCAGCAGTCAGGCCAGTGCACACTCTGTCTCCAGAGGAGCCCAAGGTGGGGATCAAGACCATCAAGGTGTACTGCCAGCGCATGCAGGAGGAGAACATCACCCGCGCCCTCATTGTGGTGCAGCAGGGAATGACGCCCTCCGCTAAGCAGGTTGGTGCGCCTCCGCCTCTCCCCTCCCCTCAGCCAGCTTCACATCCTCAGGAGCCTCCTTGCCCAGAGGAGCGTCTGGCTGGTGGCTCACACGCCTAGTGCTGGGGCCCAGGTCGAGGTCCCCTGGAGGAAGCAGCCAGTGTTTACGACAAGCCCTGGCCACTTCTGCCACGTGCCTCACTTCTGGCTGCTGCCTCCTGTGGCCCCAGGCTGGGCCGTTTTCCAGGGTGGTCATGCAGTCTCAGAGGCTCTTTGTCCTGCTGGCCTCTGAGCAGTTGTCCTGTCTGCACAGGGATGAGGCATTCTCCAGTGGGGACCCAGCGGGCCCCACCCCCTTTGTTGAGTTGAGGGAGAAGCCAAGGCACAGGGTCTGTAGGTGGCCTGTCCGTGTCTGTCAGTTGGACAGAACTGAGCTGAAGGGTGTGTTGAGGGGGTGGACAGGCCAGCACTTTTGTCCCTGGCCCATCCGGCTGTGGAGTTCTTGTGGTCACACACGGGGACACATCCCAGCTGTGAGGACAACCCATGTGAGCAGTCTGACAGGTGGAAAGGAGCCTGAGTCCCCAGCCACCCTCACGAGGTTGTGGAGACCTGAGGCGTGGCCTAGGAGATGGGGTGGAAGGGCACCCTTTCATACAGAGGAACGTGGGGTTTTTCCTGATGTGTGACATGGCACACCATGTTGAGGCACAGGAATAAACTCTGGTTAGCTTGGGGTGGGAAGTGAATGGGGATTGTCTTGGGACACTGGACTGGGAAGGGGGCTCCCCTGCTTGGCCATGTGCGAGGGTCTGGTCTCTTGCAGTCTCTGGTTGACATGGCCCCCAAGTACATCCTGGAGCAGTTTCTGCAGCAGGAGTTGCTCATCAACATCACGGAGCACGAGGTGCGTCTGGTGGCACCTGGCCCTGCCCTCACTGGGGCCGAGGAGAAGTGGGGTCTGGGAGTGGACAGGAAAACACTGGAGATGAGTCTGGGGGCTGGGGCAGCAGGGCTGTCAGAGGGTGGCCCCACGCCTGCAGCAGCACCTGGGAACTTGCTAGAAATATAGGTCCCCAGGCCTGCCCCTGATCGAGGTGACTGAATCCCTGGTTGGGCCCCAGGTGTCTGTATAAGAAGCCCAGGGGGCTCCTCCCTGCAGGCTCCGGCCCCCCCAACCACGTGGCAGTCAGGGTGGGGGTGGGGCTCAGCCAGTAGATTTGCAGACATCCCTGAGCACCTAGTTGTGGTTCATCCGCGGCACCCCCATCCCCCCATTTCCCTCTTCTCTGTGTTGGGAGGAGGGTTCAGGAAGCTGCTCAGATGTCACACTGGAGGAGGAGGGTCACTTTCAGGCCCACCCTCTGGAGTGGCCCCCTAAGCCTTGGGACCTAGGAGGACAGCCTCTGTGCCTGTGCCTTGGCAGGCTGTGATGGCCACCCAGGGAGCCCAGCAGGGCCTCTCTCCCTGTTTTCATGCTGGTGACAGCTGGTGGGTTCCTGTCTTGGCAGTTGGTCCCAGAGCACGTCGTCATGACCAAGGAGGAGGTGACGGAGCTGCTGGCCCGATAGTATCCTTCCTGGTGCCCTGGCTACCCCCTCCCCTCCCTGTCCCCTGGTCTAGCATCCTGTAGCCCTTCCCCCGTCCCCCAACAACCCAGCCAGCCATTTTCCCTGAGCATGCTTCCCAGTAAACTCCGAGAGAACCAGCTTCCCAGGATCCAGGCGGGAGACCCTGTGGCACGCTACTTTGGGATAAAGCGGGGGCAGGTGAGAGCCCCTGCCAGGAAGTGGCCCCACGGCTGCTCTGAGCTGGCCGCCTGGAGACTGAGGAATTTGTCCCTCCCCAGCAGCCTGGATGGGCACTTGGGCCACACCCCCAGACCCCTCTTACAACCTGGGCCCTGAGAAGAGTGTAAACACTTGGGGCCACCTCCTAGCCTTCCCAGCCCCCAGCTCGTGCTCTTCCGCTTCCCAGGTGGTGAAGATCATCCGGCCCAGCGAGACGGCGGGTAGGTACATCACCTACCGGCTGGTCCAGTAGCCCCCGCCCTCAACAGGTGAGATGGTGGGGCTGGAACACGCCCCGTCTGTGTTCAGGAGGCGTTGGCCCAACTGAGGTTCCGACTCCTGGGGGGGGTCTAGTGCAGCCCCCGGGCCACTAGGCGCTCCCACAACACTCCTAGCCCCCACCCGGCCTACACGCCAGCTCCCTCGGCTCCTGTGCCCGGGAAGCCAGGGTCCTGGTGCCCACGGCCTCCCTGCTCCCAGCCTCCCTTCCACCTTAGACGTAGGAACCCATCACCCACACGGCAGTGAGAGGCAGCACTTTCTAGAAGAGGGTTTAGAAACCTGCCCAGAGACCTCAGACTGGGGGAGGAGGGCCACTTTCAGGCCCAGCTTCCTGAGTGGCCCCCCAGGCCCTGGGACCTAGGAAGACAGTGTGTGTGCCTGGCCAGAGCCTGTCTTGGTGCCCATGGGTTTCCCCACCCCATCTACACCCCAAGGTGCTGTCCTGGCAGGCTGCCTCACGGCTCCCGGAGCCCCCAGGCAAGGCACAGACCAAGCCCAACACTGAAGCTCAGGTTTCTCTTTGTGGCCTTGCCGTCCAGCCTCCTTTGAAGTCAGGGCCACTGTTCACACCTGCTAGGCACAAGTCAGCATCCCACCTTCCTGCACCCTGCTAGGCACAAGTGAGCGTCCCACCTTCCTGCACCGTGGCCTGTGCCTTGTTCCCTCCAGGCCTGCCAGCTGGATTCTTCAGCAGCGTGGGTGTGGGGCTGCCCAGCTCCTGTGACAGCCTTGTCGTCTCTTGCCCAGACCCAGAGATGGACAGACAGACAGTAACAACCGTTGTCTTGAGGACAGATGCCCCCGCCCTGCTCTGCCCTGCGGGAGTCTGGTCCTCCCCAAGCCTCACCCCTGCTCCTCTGGACTCCTCAAGGCAGGTGGCCACTGCCTTGTTCACTTTTCCTGGGGTGAGGTTTCCTGGGGCCTGGCTGCTCGATTCACCTGTTGATCCTTGAGGGCTAGGGCCCCAGGAGGGACAAGACCCCAGCGGGAGGACAGCGGGAGCAGCTGGTGCCACGCAGCAGTCCCGTGTCCTTGCCCAGCTGCACTGACTCCCCCTCAGGGGCTCGGGTCTGCATCGCCTGCCAGCCGCTGTTTCCTCCCAGGCCCTCAGCCACCATCGATTCATCTTCCCTCCCGAGGGGGCCTAGCTGCCCGGCCGATCCCCCACCCCTTGGACTCTCCTGCCAGAGACTTGGGGCCGGGTGTGTGGGGGCTGCACCCATGGGCGCTCCAAGGCTGGCAGGGTTCGCGATTACAACTCATTTGGAGTTTTCTGTTGCCGTAGGATGTTGGATGTTTCCAAACTTCAAAGACATTTTGAGTAAATAAACGTGTTTGTTTTAAAAACCAAGACTAAGTTAGGTTTTCATTGCGTGGCCTCGCCCCGAGCACACAAGGTCAGCTTGGTGGGCTCCTGGTCGTCCTCTGTTCTCAAGGGCCCTGGTTTGCCCCAAAATGCCAGCTGCCCCCGCCATGGGGCCTCCTGCCTCAGTGCTCCTCTGCCCTTCCTGGGTCTGCGCAGGTGTGAGCATGTCTTTGTGTCTCTCCCTGCACACGTGGCATGGGGGTAGTTCGCTGGTGTGCGTCTGTTTATCCGGCTTCTCTCACATAGAAGTTTGGGATCAGACTGTCCGTTTTTCTCCCTCAGAGTTTGATTTCAGAAGTCCTTGCCTACCCTACTTCAGAGCAGTTGTAGCTATTTCTTTTCTCCTTTGTAACAACTTTGAGATATAATTCACTTATTATATAGGATTCACTCTTGTGCAATTGGTGTGTGTTTTGAATTTTAATTTTTTTAGAGGTGCTGTTACTGTGTTGCCCAGTCTGGGCTCAAGCGATCCTCCCACCTCGGCTTCCCTAATGGCTGAGACTGCAGCTGTGTACACCAGGCCCAGTAATGCGTGCGTATGTTTACAATGAACTACAACCATCGCCTCAAATCTAGTTCTAGGACGTTCTCATTACTCCACATGGAAACCCAAGCCCCTCCCCCAGCCCCTGGTGACCACGAATCCACGTCCCGTCTCTGTGGATCTTCCTGTTCTAGACATTTTACGTAAACAGAGTCACACACTGTGTCCTTTTGTGTCTGGCGTCTCTCACTGAGCACGATGTCCTCAAGGTGCATCCACGCTGTGGCCTGCGTCAGGCCTCGTCCCTTTTCATGGCTGAGTGGTGTTCCAGTGTGTGGTGCGCCACGTGTGTTTGTTCATTGGTGGAAACTTGGGCTGTTCTACTCTTCGGCTGTTGTGAACCTGCTGCTGTAAACGCCCGTGTGCGGGTCTGCGTGGACGTGCGCTTTGCTTTCTCTCCAGTGGACACCCGGGAGTGGAGCTGCTAGTCGTGGTGACAGTTTAATCTTTGGCGAGCCCCCTAAAAGTCCCCAGCGGCTGCAGCAGGGTACCACATCCCCCCAGCTGGGTGTGAGGGTCCAGTTCCTCCATGACTCCACGACCTCTCCAATGCTTATTATCGACTGTCTTTTTTGTTATAGCTGGGGGTGAAGTGGTTTCTCCTTGTGGCATTGGTTTGCTTTTCCCTGGTGGCTGATGACGCTGAGCGTCTTTTCATGTGTTTGTTGGCCATTTATGTATCTTTGGAGAAATGTCCATACCGATCCTTCACCTATTAATTGGGTTAAGTTTCTCAGAGACAAGGTCTCATTCTGTCACCTAGCTGGAGTGCAGTGGCATCATCACGCACCCTCAAACTCCTGGGCTCAAGTGATCCTCCTGCCTCAGCTTCCCAAGTAGCTGGGACTACAGGTGCTACCACTTTGCCTGGTTCAAAACAAAATAAATTTGAAATGCAGTTCTGCAAGCGCACTGGCCATATTTCCAGTGCTTGGTGGCCACTTGGGGCTGGTGTACAGGAAGAACCTTGAGGATGGAGAATATACCACCATCTGGAAAGTTCTGCTGGACACCCCTGAGCGGTAAGTTTACGTGAGAAACTTGCACGGCCTGTCTGAAGACCACCCAGGCCCACCCCCTGCATTGGCTCTGGCAGAATCTCTTCCCTGTGAGTTTCCCCAGGGAGCCACCAAGGGCCCTCTGTGCCCCTCCAGCCTCTAACCCTTCCAAGGCCACCAACACCACAGGAAACAGACCAGATTAAAAACTTTATTTTAAGCAAAATAAATGTGCATGTCAAAAGAACTACATGTGACCCGTAAGCGACTTCACCACGTACCTAAACCCCAGGTGTCCAAGACTGGTTTTCTGAAAAAGCGATGGCATCCCGAGGCCACTGTGCGGGCCTAGCCATCCTGCAACCCAGGAAGCCGCACCAAAGGCGGGCCTCCACCCCCATGCAGGGCCAGGCCTGCTGCCCCTGTGATGACCAGGCCCTGGGGCAGTGGGGTGCGCCGAGCAGGGACAGGTTCCTCCGCCCACGCAGCCCTGTGGGTGCTCATAGGAAGGCCGGGCGACTGGACGAGAGAGCAGAGTTCCTCCAGCTCAGCTCTGGGGCACGGAGGGGTGTGCTGGGTCCCCGTAGCTTCGCTGGCCCTCATGCTCCTGGACGCTCCTGAGAGGAGGTGGCCAGCACTGCCCCCTGCTGTGTGGGCTGCAGGGAGGAGACCGCGTGCTGGCGGGACTCTCCAAGTCCAGGTGCTTGCAGCGACCACCGGACAGCGTGACCAAGCTGTGCCCTGGGCCAGGGACGCCCCAGAGGGGCTGGAGCCGGCAGGGGAGAAGCTGGGCGTGGGCCCCGCCGCGCCACAGCTCAGACGAACTCTGGCTGCCTCTCTCCGCAGGTGCCCAGCGCGATCCGTCTGCCCTGGAGTCTCACGGTGGGCAGCCGGCCCCACGCCACGTTGTTGGACTGGTTGGTGTTGTACGCGGAGAGCTGCGGGGCCGGGCTGTCCTCATCTTCATCCCCGTCCTCCCTGGCTGCAGTCTCCAGTTGCTCCTCGCTGCCGCTGCCGCTGCGGGGACCCTCCTCCAAGCTGGCCTCAGACTCCTGCTTCTCCAGGAAGTTGAAGTGGCGCAGGGTGCTGACGCCTGACGACGACAGCAGGTCAGAGGCCTCCTCCAGCTCCGAGTCCGAGTCATTGGACGCAACGCGGGATTCTGAGGAAGAGAGACGAGGAGGAGGGAGGTGACCCACCACCAGAAGGGAGGTCCCGGGTCAGCCGCCTTTGACACCATGAGGCTGGCCCCACCTGAGTCAAATCTTGGGGCTCTCACCCCTACCAAGCCCCATCCCTGCCCTCGGAAAGCACACGCCCACAGGCGATGTGGCCAGCCAGCCTGGCGTCTCTAGGGACAACACACAGGCATCACTTGCACATTCAAGGCTCCCATTTCTCAGTGTGGACCTCGAAAAAGCACTGCTTCGCTTGTGTTTACAACAGCATGAAAGAAAAAGAAAGAACATTCCATAAATGTGGGCTGTGCGCAGTGGCTCACGCCTGTAGTCCTAGCACTCTGGAAGGCCCAGGTGGGAGGATTGCTTGAGCTCAGGAATTCGAGACCAGCCTGAGCAAGAGCAAGACCCTGTCTCTACTAAAAATAGAAATTGGCCAACTAAAAATATAGAGAAAAAATTAGCCAGGAATGGTGGCGCATGCCTGTAGTCCCAGCTACTCGGGTTGCTGAGACAGGAGGATCGCTTGAGCCCAGGAGTTTGAGGTTGCTGTGAGCTAGGCTGACACCATGGCACTCACTCTAGCCTGGGCAACAAAGTGAGACTCTGTCTCAAAAAAAGAAAAACAAATGTGGTCCTCACCACAGACAAAATCCACAGAACATGCAGCTTCCGGGCACTGAGATGTGGCCCAATCAGCTATTGTGCGCACAACACTGTCACTGGGCACCTGTGCACACTGGCAAAACATCCGGGCTCCCCCAGGGCTGCCGAGGTGACAGGCGGAGCGGTAACCACAGCACTCACCTTCTCCCCTGTCCTCCACCTCCTCCAGCAGGGGGTAGGCAGCCCCCTCGCCCGCCTCCGGGTATGGCACCTGGACAACTACTTCAGCCTGCTGGACAGAGGACCCGCCCTGCAGGGGCAGAACAGAGGTCAGGGAGGGGCTGGGGGTAAATTAACAAAACAAACAACCCCCTAAGAGTCACTGGCACCGGTCCTGCAGAGGCCATGACCCGACACACTGCTGTACGCAGGCTCGGCCCCGACAGTCAGCTCTTATCAGAGGCTGAGCCGCTCCGACTCCCAGCCCACTCTGGGCTTCGCAGAGCCCATCTGCCGCAGCAGAGCAGGAGGAAACCCAGGAAGCTGCTTCCGTCCACGTGAGAGACGCCAGAAGACAGATAAAGATGTAGAAGGAAGACTTGAACAGGGGAGAAGGGGACAAGACGCTTTTAGGAAATGAGACAGACAGGATTCCTAGAAACGGAGGTCTGAGCAGGTGAAAGTGAAACCTGGCAGCCGGGTGCAGGTGACTCCAGCCATCCAGCAATGGCGTGGCAGACAGAGGTCTCATGTGAGTGCCAGAGAGCAGAGGGGTAGCCACAGGGCCTTTGTACCACCCGGGGCTCTCCCCAAGTTCTTTGCTTAGAAGGCAAACAAAATGGGCCCTGTCCAGGCCAGTTCTCTCCCCATCGTCCATGCAACAGACCACCACCGCTGCCCCCAGCAGCCCTCACCATCACCCGCTCGGATGGCCCTGGGCCAGACCCCTGTCCTCACCTGGCCATCAGGTGCCTCCTCTGGTTCCTCCTCGAAGACCAGGCCGTAGTGGACGATGAGCGTCTCGATGATGCGGGCCTGGTGGGGGTAGTCCACCAGCGAGGAGAGGGAGACAGTGGCCTCGGTGGGCCGCGGCCGCAGCAGGGTGGGCCCAAACACAATGCCCAGGTTTCCCGGGGTCATCTTGTTGTCCTGCTCCACCTCCACGATCCTGGGGGGGCAGGAGCGTGAGGGGTGCATGTGAGCGGCCCCCGGGGACCCCTGACCCCCCGCCCCTGCCCTCACCTGCGCAGGTGCCGCAGCAGGTACTGTAGCGTGGCCAGGTTCTCAGGTGGCAGGTCCCGCAGGAGCTCCCGCAGCCGGCCCACCATAGCCAAGGCCGCCGCCTCGCTCTCCGAGCTGTCCTGCCGCCCCCGGGAGGCCGCCTTGGCCTCGGCCTCCGCCTTCAGGCTGTCCTTGGCCAGCCCCACGAGCTCATGGTAGAGGCGGAAGGAGATGAGCGGCTCGGGCAGCTGCAGACAAGGGGTCAGCGCTGGGGTCCGTGGGCCTGGCCCAGCCCAGCTCCTGCCAAGGCCCCGCCCCTAGCCACAGCCCCGCCCCAGCTGTGGTCACGCCCCTGCCAAATGCTGGCCCCACCTAGTCTTCCCTGGCCACGCCCCTAGCCTCAGCCCCACCCATCCACGATGGCCTTTCTCCACCCCACCCAGTGTCACCTGTTCCTGCCCTTCCAGGCACTGGCTCAGGCTAGGCCTCTGCTCTGCCCACCTCCAGCGGGTCTTACCTGGCGCAGGTAGAGCTTGAGGACATTGCTGATGTCGTGGGGTGGGGCTTGCGACAGCTCCACCAGCTCCTTGCCATTCTCAAAGGCCTGGCACAGCTTCTCCACGCGCGTCTTCACCCCGTTGACCCGGTAGATGCCCTGGGGGGGGGGCAGTCAGCCTCAACCCATGCCCATCTCCCCACCCCCGTGATGGCCCCTCTCGGCACCCGGCCTCACCTTGGTGCGCAGCGCCCGCCGCTCGATCTCACAGACGCACTTCTTGACCAGGAAGGGCACGCCGTCGGGGGTGCCGCGTGCCGCCCGGCTGAAGTCCTGGCCGAAGAGCTGCAGGCGGCCCTGCAGCTTCTTGTGGCCGCACTGGATGGCCAGGGTCTCCAGGCACTTCTTGTGGCAGGCCAGGCAGCACTACAGGGATGTGGAGTGAGCCCTGTGCCACACCCCCACCCGCCACCAATGACCCCCAAGGCCACCCATAGCCCCCCACGTGGCACTTCCACCACACCGAAGGCTCCTGTCCACCCCACGGCCTCCACTTCTTCCCACCCCTTGGTTTTCCTGCTGCAGCCCCAGGGCCTTTGCACTACTTGTGCCTCCTCCTGGGACACTCCTCCTCAGATGCCCTATAGGGGGTGCTCTCTGCTCCAGAGAGAGCCAACCCTGTCCCCCAAACTGAAGGAGCCCATCCATCACCCCCTACAATTCCTTCCAGACGCCCATACACAAAAGCTTCCCACTCGCTCTCAGTTCTAGGCCAGACCTTCCTGAAGGCACACGGGCCAGCTGGTGCCTGGGACCTCAAAGGCGCCAGCCCTCCCTCGGGGACCCCACTCACCTCCTCGCACTCGGCACCCTGGAAGTAGACGTAGCTGTTGCACTCCCGGCACTTGGCGGGCGTCCGGAGCTTCCGGAGCCGGTGGGTGCGGGCAGCCTTGGACAGCCCCACGTGGCGGAAGGGCCCACTGGGCATGGCGGGCAGCTCAGGGGCCATGCTGTTGAGGTCATCTGGGGGCAGGACGGGCAGCCAGTGTCACCCAGGCAGGTCAGGGCCAGGCCCAGGTCCAAACCTCCTCTCTCCCCACACCCCAGTCGGGGGACCCTCACCCTGCTCAAAGGCTGAAGCCCCTGCACCACCCTCCTGGTCCGCCAGCTCCTCGTTGGATGACATGGTGCCACTGGAGGATGTGCGCTCAAACTTCTTAAAGTCCCCTGAGCAGGAAACAGGGCTGTCAGACACCGCGAGCCAGCAGGGACCCATCTGGAAGCCTCCAGCACCCCCAGTGCATCTTGCAGCTCCCCTGCCCCAGCCCACCCGGCAGGGTCCTCACCTGAGCTGGCGCTGGGGTCCAGGGCGCCCGAGTCTGAGATCGAGATTGGCCACGACTTGTGCACCTGGTGTCCCCGCCCACCTGAGGAAAGAGGCATCTCTGTCGAAGGGCTGGAGGGGCCACAGGGAGCCAGTGCCCAGTCCTGGGCGCCGCCAGGCACTTACCCCTGCGATCCTTGGCAAGTGTCCCCTCCTGGGAGCCACCTTCCTCTGGGGGGCTGCTGGCGGTGTCGGCCCCTGCAGTGTCGCCAACGTTGAAGCTGCCCTTCCGGGCACGCATGACCGGGGACCTGGTGGGAGGAAGAGCGAGGAGTAGGGGCCTTGGTGGTGTGGCACAGGGTCCTCTTGCCCACCCTGTGACAGGTGAGAAGCCCAGCTCCCCAGGGCACAGATGTGCATGGCGGGTGGGGACGGGGGGGCAGGTGGCAGTACCAGGTGTTGGCAGAGACGTGGGGTTCAAAGTCATAGTGCACGTCGGGCTCCTCCCCGCGCTGCAGCTGGCGCACGTGGGAGGCGTACTGCTGGCCCGGGTCGTAGAGCTTGCTGCTCTCGCACAGCATCTGGAAGTGCACGGGCAGCGGGGCCGTCTGCATGTGCATCATCTGGTAGTAGGAGATGGTGGCCTGCGGGCGGCACGAGAGGGCAGCAGGGTCAGGAGGCCGGACCGGCGGCTGCACGCCCCACGCCCCGGTGGTTGGAGCCCAGCACACACCGACTTGATGGTCTGGTCGCTCTGCCGGACGACCTCCTGGAGCTGCCGTAATGCGGTCACCTTGGTGTCTTCCAGCTCCTGCTTCTGCGTCTTCGCATCTGCCACGCACGTGCGGTACGTGGCCATGGCCTCCTCCGCCTGCGGTGGGCGCGGGGCACAGGCAGGCTCAGCCCCCGGGCACTGCCAGGCCTGAGTCAGACATCCCAGGGCTGAGCCGCGCAGGGAAGGGTGGGCAGGGCATTCCTGGCCGGACGCACAGCCCGGGCAAAGGCCTGGCGTGGGAAAGTTCACACATTGCCCCAAGAGACGCCACCCCTGAGTCTCATCCTCTGGGACCCTCCACGGCCCCCTCCTTGCCGGCCTCACCTTGTTCTTGGCTTCCTCCTCCAGCCGCCGCCGCTTGTCCAGGGTCTTGGAGGCTGTACTCCCCGTTCCAGGCGCGGCGCCTGCCTGTTCCTCCTCCGCCTTGGCCACGAGCAAGCGGGCCTTGTCGTGGTCCTCGCAGCGCTGGACGTAGCCCTGCTTGGCCTTGCGCAGGTTGGACTCTGCCTCTTGCTGTGGGCGTGGGAGCGAGGGGCCCAGGTCTGACCCTGTCCTGCAACAGGACTTGGTCTCCCAGCTTCCCCCCACCCTTCTTCCCACCCCCATCGGCCCAAATACCCCCCACAGTGGGACCTTGTGAGGAAGGGGCGTCTGGGGTGCCCATTTGACAGCCTGGGAAGCCGAGGCACAGACACACAAACAGTGTCATCCCCGCCACCTCCGCCAGCCCCTGCAGGAGCAGGCTGATGTCTCAAGCCACTGTCTCTTTCACTTCCCTTCTCGCAGATGAAAACAGAGGCCGGCAGGCAGGAAGTCAGACACCCTCAGGGTTGGCAGGAACGGCAGTTAGTCAAAAAACAGGGGGCCTTGGGGAGGGCCACACCGCACAGCCTACACCATCAGAGACTTACACATAGAGACAGGAACCAACACAAGTACTAGGGGAAACCATGGGAGGAGTTTCTAAAATAACCCCAGCCTGGGGAAGGTCTTTTGATGAGTGACACAAAACTCAGAGACCATAAAAGGGCCGGGTGCGGTGGCTCACGCCTGTAATCCTAGCACTCTGGGAGGCCGAGGCGGGCAGATTGCTCAAGGTCAGGAGTTCAAAACCAGCCTGAGCAAGAGTGAGACCCCGTCTCTACTATAAATAGAAAGAAATTAATTGGCCAACTAATATATATAGAAAAAATTAGCCGGGCATGGTGGCACATGACTCTAGTCCCAGCTACTCGGGAGGCTGAGGCAGCAGGATTGCTTGAGCCCAGGAGTGTGAGGTTGCTGTGAGCTAGGCTGATGCCACGGCACTCACTCCAGCCTGGGCAACAAAGGGAGATTCTGTCTCAAAAAAAAAAAAAGAGACCATAGAAGACTAACAATCAACTACTACTAACACTCACAGTTTCTACCTGGCAAAATAGGCCACAGATAAAATCAAGAGTCAAAGAATAAACACAGGAGTAGCGGTGGGTAGGGGAGTCTGTAACTCACATCATTAAGGTTATTCTCTCATATGTAAAGAGCTCTGGAAAATCAACAAGAATAAGCTACCATCCAACCCAAGGTGCACAAAGGAGAGGAACTGAGAGTCCACAAAAGAGGAAAAGCATTGCTCGGGCCTGGGAGGGTAGCTCGTACACTAACACCCTTGACACAGCAATTCCCTTTCAGGCACTGATCCAAGAGAAATCCTCACGTGTCCTTAAGATGGGGACACAAGCTTGTTATGGCAATAGTGTTTGTTTTTGCTTTGTTTTTTATTTTTTGAGATAGAGTCTTGCTCTGTTGCCCAGGCTAGAGTGCCGTGGTGTCATCACAGCTCACGGCAGCCTCCAACTCCTGGGCTCAAGAGAACCTTCTGCCTCAACCTCCTGAGTAGCTGGGACTACAGGTGTGGCCAGAGCATCTTTGAGCCAGGAGCGAGTCAGCCTGCGGGGCCATGGCCAGCCCCACAGGTGCACTTAGGAGGCTGCGCCCGGGACAGCTGCTCCACCCTGCCCGCCCCGCCCACCGGCCCTACCAGCTTCCTCTGGGCGCGGTGCCAGGACTCTTTGATCTCCTTCCTGCGCTTCTCGTGCTCAAGCCTCCGCAGGGTCAGGGGCTGGGGAGAGACGGGCTGTGAGAGGGACCCCTGGCACCACCCACCGCCCAGCCCACCCTCTGGGGTGCAGCCCACCTGCATGAAAGTCTGGGTCTGCAGCGTGCCCACCGCCTGCACCATGCTGTGGCCAAACTCCAGGTCCTGCTCCAGGGCCAGCGAGTAGATGGACAGGAGCGGCATGTGTGGCTGCGGGGGGGGCACTGGTCACTGAGGCAGGGACAGATGGGGACAGGGGTGGCCCACCACCCCAAGCCCACTGCTTCTTCAGCCCCTGCAGCCAGCCAGCCAGCCACCCACCCACCGTTGGCCCTATGGTCCGGGCGAAGCCCCTGCCCTCGGGCCCTCACAGGGGGCTGAGACTCACACCCAGGCCCCAGGGACCCTGCCCGGCGCCGGCCGGCCCCCACCTCCTGCATGACGCTCTGTCTGCAGTTGTGCACGATCTTCTGCAAGCCTTTGGCAAACTCCATCTCTGCAGGCCGGGGGGCAGTGTGAGGTGCGGGACGGAGGCTCCCCAACCCCCGCCTGCCCAGAACCCCCTCCCCAGCCCGGCCCCGCCCCACACTCACCCAGCGCGGTCCGCTTCTCCAGGTAGCCTATGAGGTCCTTCATGTACTTGGCCATGTTCTTGGCGTACTGCAGCGCGGCGTCCACGCCTCCTTCACACCGCTGCAGCAACATGTCCACCTCCTCGGGGGGCAGGCAGCCTGGGGGGACACCCGCTCAGCCCCGGCCGGGCCCTCTGCCTCCCAGCCCGCCTCGCAGGCGCCGCCCGCGCCCGAGACTTACCCGCGTCGCAGTCCTCAGCGCTGGGAGCGGCGCCCTCGCCGCCCTGTCCGTACAGGCTGTCCACCGACTGCGGAGGGGAGGCACGGCTGACACCTGCCCCGCGCTGGGCCCACCCTGTGGGGGACGGCCACCGCCCGCCTGGGCAGAGAGGGAGACTGAGGGGCGCAGGGGACGCAAGGGTGACTTGCCGTGCCCTGCGACCTGAACGCCTGGACGCTCACCTGGCCGGGGTCCCCCGGAGGCACTGCCAGGAGGGTGCTGCTGTCCACTTCGCCCATGAGGAACTCGGATACACTGCAGGGCCGGGGTGTCAGCATCGAGAGGAACAGAGGTCCCACACCCCCCCACGCCCGCCCCGCAGGCCCCCGCGCTCACGTGCTGCTGAAGGACACGGCAATCGTCTCCAGCGCCTTCTCGAACTCCCTCTTGTCTGACTCATTGTTGCTCTCGTAATGGAAGGCTGGGACAGGCACAGAGACAAGGAGATTTCTGTCCCTGCAACTCACTGAGGTGAGCCCTTAGCCCAGGGGGAGCGTCAAGGAACCGTTGTGCCTGCCAAACTCCTATACATCCTTCAAAACCCACTTCAAACATCCCTTCCTCCAGGAAGCACCCCCACGCAGAGAACCATTGCTGCCCGGTCCCAGCTGGCTGACCTTTGACCTTGGCAATGAGGGTGCCAGCAGCCGTGAGCGTCTCCACGGTGTTCAGCAGCGGGTACTTGGAGATGACCTGGCGCATTACACGGAGGGCCTCGCCCAGGCACTCGTGGGCCAGTGGCCGGCGGGCCTCAAGGAGTTCTGCTGGGCAGAGTCGGTGTGAGCAGGGGTAGGAGCCTGGTCCCGGTGAAAGTCTGTTACCTCCTCCCTCCTGCTCAGAGCTCCTGTCCCCAGGTGGGGGAACTGAGGCAGAGATGGCATATCCAGGGCTCACTGTGAGACCTCGGGTGGGGCACTGTCCCTCTCTGGGCTGCTGGCTACCTCAGCAAAGGCCAGACCTTGGCTTAGACGGTCCCTTCTGCCAAGAACACGCTTTTCCTGTCCCTCCAGAAAGGAACTGCCCCTTGTGCTTCAAGTGCAGTCCCGGGCCCCTTCCTCCACATGGCCGCCTGTCCGCGGCCCTGCCCTAGACCTGAGCACAGCTCAAAGCCCTGCCCGGCCCTGTCCCTCCCTTCCTGCCTGGGCGCTGGGCCCCCAGCAACCCCGTCATCTCACTGTCTATCGGCAGCCACCCCAGGAGACAGGTACTATCATGGTCCTCGTGTTGCAGACAAGGAAACTGAGGCACAAAGCTTTCCCATTACATCTGAAGGCATCAGAACACCAGACAGAAGGACCCTGCCTGGCTTCATCTCCAGAGCAATAGGGAGCCATAGAAGGTGTTAGAAGACAGGAGGGTCATGGGCAGATCTGCCTGCTGGAATGTGCCTTTAAATGCCCTCCTAAAATGTTCTCAGTTGGTCAAAAACAAAAACAATTTTTAAATGCTGCCACAGCGAAAGAATGCCCAGAGACACAGCCCCAGAGTGGCCTGGTGCCAGCAGGACAGACGGCTTTGGCCGTCCGGCGGCAGTGGCGAGGATGTTCAAAAAGCACTGGGCACCCCCCTCTGAATGCCACCTCTGGGGAGAGGCCCGTGGAGTCACCAGCCAGAGAGTCTGCCAGGCACTGTCCCCACGCCTAGGACCTCCAGCAGCCCAGCGCCTCTTTGCGCCTGAGTCCTCTCCGTGGGAAGGGGCTTCGGGGCTCCAGGCCACGCCCCTTCCCGGGACATTCCTCCCACGCACCCGCCCCTCGTGCCACGGGGTCTTGGCCCCCAAGGTCCCTGCAGTGCTCCCCACCCAGGAAGCTGACGTCAGGCGGGCCCCCTGCGAAGTCCCCACTCGGCCGGGCACAGCAGAGGCAAGCGCGCAACAGCGGCTGTGTCCCCAGCCGGCGGGACACAAACGTCCCAGGCGCCACGTGCTCCCGGTGGGGCTGGTGGACCCCAAGCCCCGCAACCTCCCCTCACCTCGGGTCCCCGCGCGGCAGCGCACCGGGCCCTCGTCCAGCGCCGAGTGCACCGTCCCGCAGATACACATGGTGCGGCCGTCGGGATGTGGAGACCATGAACTCGTGGGACCAGGCGACTGCCTGTTGGGGGTCTCTGGTGGCCAGCTAGCGACCAAACCGGCTCGGGCCGGTCTGCAGGCCCCGCCTCCGCCGAGGAAAACCCCGCCCCGGCGTCCCGATCGCCCTGGCCAGGGTCCTTGGCTCCCCCACAGCGTGCGGCGCAGGGGTCCAAACCTGAGGCTGCGCGATTCCAGGTGCCACAGGTTGAGGGAGGGTGGGGAAACTGAGGCCCAGAGCCCAAGCCCGGGGTGCAAAGAGGCCCCGGGAAGGGGGTGAAGGGACCGCAGCTACCTGGTCTTGTCCACCTGCGCCCCTGCCTCCCATGCCTCCTAGGCTGCCTGCGGGTGGGGGGGGTCCCCAAGGTGCAGGGTGGGCCCTGTAGCAATGACAATATGCTTTGGACACCTGGTTAGTCTCAGCACCCCTGCGGGGGTGTTTTACAGACCAGTCATCTGAGATCTAAAGAGGAAAGGGGCCCTGGCAGAGTCTCACAGTGGGGCAGGGGCGGCTTCAAGACTCGAACCCAGACCCTTTGGGAACCAGGGCTTCCCGGGGCCCAGGTGGCCCTCGAGGCTCAGGAAAGAGGCCCCACCAAGGCCGGCCCAGTTCCGACCTTGCAAAGGTGGCCTGTGGGCAGAGCCCCGCCCAGGCCGGGCCTCCAAGGAAGCGACAGGCTCGGAAAGGAACAGAGATTAGAGTTTCCCCAGGAAACCAGCTCTGGCCCCAGCCCTGGGACCAGATAACCTCAAGGGCTCCCACCCCTCCCAGCAGGGCCGGCCCGGCAGTAGCGCCTGGAAGGCGCATTGGTCCAACCCTGGCTGGGGGCACGGCCAGGTGAGCTGGGGCTCAGCGCCCCATGAGGGACTTGGTCTCATCATCTGTAAAACGGGTGGCTGGGGGGGGTGCTGGCCCGACCCTGGCACTGAGGTTTCCGGGAGCAGCCGGTGGGCGCTGGAAGCAGCACACGAGGTGCCCGCCCGCCCGGGCTGCCAGGGACAAACAGGAAGCAGATGAAAATAGCTCGGCAGGAAGTTGGGCTGTCAGCACCGCGTGGAGGAGAAAACGGAACTGCCATCCCACAGGCAGCTCACTCCCAGCACCTCCAGCCGTTTGATGTCCCTGTCCAGGCTTTTGCCGCTCCAGAACCTCTCCCCGCCCAGACCTCAGCCAACCTCCAGTCCAAGTCATTCCAAAATACAGATCTGCCCCCACCTGTCCTGCTCTAACACCATCTGTGCCTCCCCATGGCCCTCGGGATGCCTTCATCCTCACACACCTCGTGTACCCCACGCCATGGCCTGCCCCAGTGCATTCTCCATTTCCGTGTTTCTCAGCCTGCACACGGGACATTCCTCTGCCTTTCCCTCCTAGTTGACACCAAACTCCTACACATCCCCCAGAGCCTTAGCTGTCGTGACCACTTCTGCACAGCTCTCCCTGCAATCCTCTTCTGAGCCTCTCCTTTTTTGACCCCTAAGGGTTAGAGAGATCTGTGTCCACCTCTGCCTTCCTCCCAGGCCTCAGTGCCCCTGCTGGCTCTCACCGTCATGCAACACACACTCCTTGAGTTTCTCAAGGCCCTCGGCGAAGCGAGCCACGTCGGCCAGCAGGTGGGAGATGTCCTCCACGGCATCAGGGGAGGGGCCCTCCACAGGCAGCTCGCCTGGGCTGGCGGCTGCCAGTGGGCTTCGGTGGCCCCGGCCCAGTGTCCAGGAGGTGGCACCAGACAGCGGGAAGCCGGCTGCACTGGCATGGCGGCTCAGGCTGGTGGGCCGCTTGAGTGTGCCGGTGGCCTTGACGCCCGAGGTCGCAGCTGGTGGCTCCAGGCTTGGTCCAGAGAACACAGCATCAACCCCTTCTTTCCTGGGCAGCTCCTTGGGTAGGAAGGAGGAAGCTAGTAAAAGGGGGTGCTCCAGCTTGGATGCTGCCTCAGTTTCCCCAGAAATGAAATGGGGCCCTGGAGGACCTTCAGCCTCTGACCCCACAGGGGTCACAGGCCAGAGGTCACAGGGCTGAGATTTTGAGCTTAGCCCCCCCACACCTGTTACCCAACATCCCCTTCCCTAGAGCTTTCACAAACAACGGTCCTGCCCTAACCACAGCCAGGGGCGTGGCCTTTGGGGAGCACGGGGGAGGGAGCACCCCACTTCCTGGTGGGGGTAGGGAGGGCCAGGAGAGGGTCCACAGCCCTTGCAGCCCCCCTTAGGCTTCAGCAGATGCACCTACTTCCCAGTGAAGACACTTCTGATAATTCCTGTACCCCAAGGGTCCTATAGAAGCCTGAGTCTCACGGACACCCCAGGGCCTTGTAGACAGTCCCTATCTTCGTAGACACCCCCAGTCCCGGTACCCATGGATCCTGTTACAAGACCTGCTGCGTTATAAACCTTCAACCCAGCAGCCAGGCCCAGCCCTCCTGCTTCTCAACGGTTTCTGGGGCCCCCAAATTGCCTGAGCTCGAATCCTGCGTGTCCCAGATCTGACACTGCCCCACCCAGGTACCTTCCCACTCCCCAGGCTTCACAACCGGCCCTGGGGACGCAGTGGCCACTCCAAAGTGTCCCTACCGTGAGCTGAACGAGGAGGTCCCGGCCCCTCCTCTGAGGCCCCTGCCGTCCAGCCCGGTAGGGGCTGTAGCTGGCCTGGGCCCCCAGGCGGCCCAGCATGGTGCTGCCGGGCCCAGGCCCCGCCTGGCCCGGCGTCCCTATCCCCCTTGGGCTGGGTGTCAGTCGCTAGTCCCCGCCCGGCTCCCCGCAGAGGCTTGACTCACCCCCGAGGGCAGCGGGCTGGGGCTTCCCGCCCGGTTCTTTTTCGAGATAGAAGGGGTTTTCATGAGCTCCCGTTTCTTCCTGGAGAACATGGTGGGGCCGCCTCCAGGTGGCCCGAGGGGCGCCGGCTTGGGTTTGGCAAGCTGGGGGGTCTCAGCGCTGGCTGCCTCGGGGCCACATTGTCGCCCGACACCCCCTCCCCAGCTGTCAGGCCCACGTGACAGGTCCGGCCCTCCTTGGCGGGCCCTCCCCAGCAGGAAAAGGCTTTCCGAGGCAGCGCAGCAGACTCGCCCCCCACCCCTCCCGGCCTCAGCCTGCAGCTCCGCAGAGTGGGCGCGAAGGTGCGGCTGCAGGCCCCGCCCCCGGCCCCGGCCACGCCCCCGGCTTCCGCTTTCGGGAGCTCTGCGCCCCTGCGCGGGGGTGTTGGACGGGGCGCTCTTGCCTGGCACTGGCGCCCTCAGCAGGCACCAGGCAGCCGACTGCGGGGACATTGTCCCTCACTCAGACACATGCCTAGTCGCGACTGGGAGTACACGGACACGCGTGCACGATACAGCCAGGGACACGGACTTTCACATGAGCCTAGCTCCGCAGATGACATGGAGGACACTGAGCTTTGCACTCAGACCCAGGACACATACACCAGCCCGAAGTCACCTGCTCTAGAGTCTCGCTTTTCCCTGCAGGCGTGCCCCGGTCCTGACCTCTCTGGTCACCCATCCTGCAGACCTTGGAGCTCAGCAGAGCCCGGGTAGGACAGGACAGGGCAGGGCGGAGTGGGATGACCACCTAGTGGCCGGCCCTGCAGCCCCTTACCAACACTGTCCTCAGCGGAGCCCCCATCCTACATTCCAGGGACTTGGTGGGGTCTTGGGACACACGCACAGCCCCCCGGGAGTGCTGGGGAGGAGGAGGAAGGCATAGAAGCGCTGCTAACATACTGAGGCTGTGGGCCCCGAGAGCCAGGGCGTCTGGGTGTGTACAGGTCCCAGTCCCCTTCCACCCTACCCCGGGCACCCCAGTGTGAACCCTCTCCCCTCCCCAGGTCTCCCTTCCTCCCCTCCCCTCCAGAGTCCTACCCCCAATCCAAAAGCCCAGAGCCCTCTACTGACCTCAGGTGGGAGGGGCGGGTCTCCTGGACACAAGGCTCGAAGGCCACAGCCTCCAGTCCTCCATCCAACCCTCCAGGCCCGTGTCCAACCGCAAACCCAGCCCAATAGCCCCTTGAGGACTTTCTGCCCACCGCTCATTGCTCTGAGCGCCTGGGTCAGCGGCTGAAGGCTGGTGGATGGGCTTCTGGCCTGTCGGGCCACGGGGCTCCTCTAAGCTATCTGGGACATTCCTGAGCCCTGACCTCACCCCCACTTGATGGCCAGGCCCTCACAGGTACCGCCCTTAGGCGCCAGGCCCACATGGGCATGCAGGGGCCCGGGGACTGTGACCAGGCTCTAGGAAGCCCCCACTGGCACTCCCCAGCTCTCCGGAGGTATTTACAGCTGTTCACCTGGGCCCTAGAATCACCACTGGGCCCACAAACCCACAGGTACACACTTGGGGTGCAGCTGGCTCCTTCCACACATGTGCGCAGACAGCTGTGTGTGGACACGTGTAGCCTGGCGCATGGACACACATGCACACTGTTTCCCCACCATGCTCCGAGCCAGTGTTTTTATTTCCTCCAGGGCAGTGGCACCCCTGGGAGCCTGAGTCCTTCCTTTGCCACTCCCAGGGCCTCCCACCAGCCTGGCAGTGGAGGGAGGCTCAGAGCACGGTCTCAGCCATGCTGGGGTCATCCAGGAACCGCCTGGGGCGCTGTGGGCCTGGCACAGGGTCCACGCCCATTCCTGCCTCCTGCTCCTTCTGGTCCTCCTCTTCCTTCCCCTGGTCCTTAGACAAGTACAGGAAGACCTGGAGGGGTCCAGAGGGGACAGTCAGCCCACGGGCCTGCGCCCCATGTCCCCTTCCCGACGGCGCACGGGCGGGCGCTGCGGTCACCTCCTCCAGCGTGGTCTGGCTCACAGAGAAGTCCTCCACACCGTGCTCTGCGCGGTGCGCCGCTAGCTCTCCAAAGACGCGCGCTAGGGTGCAGCGCCCTCCCGGCGGCAGCTGGAAGCGCAGGCGGCCACCATGCGCCTCGCGCAGCTCTGTCCCTGGGAACGCCGCTGTCACGAAGGCTGCTGCCGACTGGGACCGCTCCACCGGCACCCGCAGGGTCAGTGTGTGGCCGGCCCCGAATCTGGAGCGAGAGGCCAGAGCTGGCAAACGGGGCCTTTCCCAGGTCCCGCCTCACTTCACCCTTCGGCCTCACCTACCCACCTGCCGACCACCGCCCAGAAACCCCCTTCTCATCTCCTAGCCACACCTCCACTGAACCAACGACCACTCCTCTAACCCCACCCAGACCCAACCTGCTAGAGTCGCTGGTTCCGGTCCCACACGTGTACCTAATCTAGCCATCACTCCACTTGGCACGCATGGCCCCGCCCCTTGCATTCCCTGGCCCCGCCCACATGCCCTCGAACCACACCCACCCGCATTCCTATGGCTGTGCCCTGCTCAGGCCACGCCCATTCACCAAGCCCCCCTCTAACTCCACCCATCGACCCACCCTCACCTCTCCTGGCTCCACCTCCGTGTACACCTGATTACACCTTCTAAATCCACGCCCTAGACCCTCATTCACTTCTCCTGGACAATCTGTGATCCTAGCTACCTCTCCAGTGGGACCCAAATTCGCCTCGCAAGGCCCCACGTCTGGCCTCCACCCTCGTCCTGCCTGTCCCCATACCTGCCTTAGCGCCTCGGCCCGCTCACCTGCTTTTGAGGTGCTGCACGCTGCCCAGGCAGCGGAACCGCCCATTCACCATGACGGCCAGGCGCGTGCAGAGCGCCTCACACTCCTCCATGCTGTTGGGGCGCACAGCCACGGGCTCAGTGAGGCCTGGGCAACCTGTGCCTGGGACCGCACTGCCCCCGGCCAGGCAGCCAGGGACCCTCACCCGCCAGGTCCAGATCTCCCTTCTGTTCTGAACGTTTCCCGCTGGGCCCAGACCCGCTCTGTTCCTGGTGCCGGACGTCACCTCCCTGTGTCCCTACACCCTGAGCGCTGGGACCCTCACCCCACCAGGGTCCGGACCTCCCCCTCTCTGGACCGCCTCTTGCTGGGGCCTGTTCCACCTGTCTCTCCAGGTGGAACAGGCTCCAACCTGGATCACACTGACCCATGGCTCTGGGCATGCGGGGCGGGGCCCACCTGTGGGAGGTGAGCACCACCGAGCGGCCCTCCCGCACCACGGCCAGGAGGCTGTTCCAGAGGAAGCGCCGTGCACTGGGGTCCATGCCTGTGGTCGGCTCGTCCTGGGAAGGGAGCACTGCCATCAGCCCGGTCCCGCCTCTGTCCCCGACCCCACCGCATCCCAGGCACCGCCTCCACGCACCAAAAAGATCACAGCTGGGTCCCCAACCAGTGCCATGGCCGTGGACAGCTTCCGTTTGTTCCCTCCGCTGTAAGTGCCCGCAGGCTGGTCCGCGTACCGTAGGAGTCCCAGGCGCACCAAGCCCGAGCTTGCTATCTGTGGGGCGGGGCCCGCGAGGATGGGCGTGGTCATCGTGAGCAGGGGCGGGGCCAGAGTAGGGACTGGGTGGACCAGGGCAAGGATAGAGGGTGCAGGTGGAGGGTCAGGTGAAACGCGCAGGGCTGCAACCTGGGGTCGCCAGAGCGAGGAGAAGGGCCGTGGACAGCGGCGGAGAAGGCGTGAAGCCCTCAGCTGGAAGCTGAGACGGAGCAAGCGGGCAGGGTCCCCGCGGGAGGAGTCAAGGGGGGAGGTGCAAGGTGCAGCCAGAGGAGTCACTGGGCCATTGCGAGTATTGGGCTGGGGGAAGCCAAGGCCGAGGGGATGGGGCTTATGGGCGTGGCTAAGGAAAGTTGGGGGTGGCCGGCCCAGGGAGGCCCACGTGTGGGGGCGGGGAGGGCTTACCTGGGCCACTTGCACCTCAGGGACACCTCGCAGGCGCGCAAACAGCTCCAGGTGCTCGCGGCCAGTCAGCAGGCTGAAAATAGCCTCAGACTGAGGGCAGTAGCCCATGCTACGGTGCGCAGCAGCCGGTTCGTGGGCCACACTGGGGGGTGGGGTACAGGGGGCTCAGAGAACTGGCTAGTCCCTGGCCATACTGCAGGCAAACTCAGGGGTCTCAGGGCACACCCATCCAGGACCACTCTGGTAAGGGGCAGGGATGTCTCATGGCCTGGTCCAGGTGTTGGGGTACAGGGTCCCCGGGACCCCACTGGTGATGGGCAGTGGGCCCAGTCCATGCACCAGAAGGTGTGGGGTGGAGAAGCACAATGGCTTGAGTGCCCACCCTGTCCCCACCTGGAGCCCCCTCACCTGTGACCTGCCAGCACAGCCTCGCCTCCGCTGGGCAGCATGTCCCCGGTCACCATACGAAAGGTGGACGTTTTCCCTGCTCCATTCACGCCCAGCAGCCCGAAACACTGTGGGTAGGCCCCAAATGGCACTCAGCGAGGCCCCAGGCCCAGTTCCAGCACCGCTGCTTTCTCAGTTTCTGCACAGAGGGCTGTGGGCCAAGGGGAGCCCTGGGCAGATATGGGTGTAAGTGGGCAGGCATAAAGCTGTCATTCAGCAGGGATGGGGTTTTGGCACACAGGATGTGTTCAATACATCCTGACACAGCGGGTAGCCTATAAAGGTCATACACAGCATGAGGTTTCCAAAGGTTTCCCGGCATACAGTGGGTACCTACTGAACAATGGCACCCAATGAATACTCAGGCTGGCTGCACAGTCAGCCAAAAGTAGAGAGGTTGGCTAGCATACAGTAGGTACTTAGTAATTATTCAATGTATGCTAACATAATGTGTATCTGTAGATGTGTACTGGCTGGCTACTAGCAGGTGGCCCATAAATGACACATAACAAATTAGTTTGCAAATAGTAGGTGCTTGAATGTGAACTGGTACAAAGCAGGTGCCTAATAAATGTCAGCTGTGAGTAAATGGGTACAATAGGGGCTCAGTACCATTGGTGCTTGATAGAAGCTGATCAACACAGGTGGTATTTGATACACCTCTTTGGTGAGCACACTGGGTATTCAATAAGTGTTAGCATGCAGTAGGTGCTTAATGAGGGTTTGTAGGCTCAAAATAGGATCTCGAATATTGGCATCCAGGTGCTCAATAAAAGGTGGTAGATGCACAATAGTTGCTCAATAAAGGACAGTAGGTATGTGTAGGTACTCAGTAAAGGGTGGTGGGTATGCAGAAGGTGCACAGTAAATGACAGTGGGGCATGCAGTCGGGCACTCTTTCACTGCTCCTGCACCAGGCCTCCACCCTGGACTCACCTCACCAGAGGGGATCCCCAGACATAGGCGGTCAACAGCTGGTATCCTCTGCCCATGGTATACCTGGGAGGGGGGTTCAGGTCCCTGAGAGGTGAGTGGGCCAGTGGGAGCCCCCACCCAACGCTCTACCCAGCCACACCTACCTTGGTCAAGTCCTTCAGCACCAACACGTCCCCCTGGGTGGCCCCTTGGACCACCCGCTCCCGCTCATGAGCCACATCTTCATCTTCCTCCCCCAGGGGTGGCAGTGACCTCAGCTTGGGTCTGGGGACAGACACATGAGTGGTCCCAAACTAGCTCTCTGGGCCCTGAAACCCTCCCCTTGGTCCTCACTGACCGTGGCCTGAGATGGTTGCGGTGCTGCAGCAGGAGAGTGAAGAAGAGGAAGAGCGGCCCCTGTACCGCCATGGCCAAGAGATTCTTGCCAACCACCTCCCAGCGCAGGGGTGACTGGAATTGCCTGTCTCCTGTGGGATAGGAAGGAGGGATTGGTTCCTTGAGAAGGCTTGGTTTCTGGCCCCCTCTCCATCCAGCTCACCAGGATTCTTAAGGGAAAGGAACAAGAATTAGATAGGCCACTCAACTGGAGTCTAATTGGCATGAAAACAGAGGTATTACCACTTCCATTATTTACAGACTTAGATGCCTTATGATGTGACCCAAGACAGAATTAGCTTTTATGGCTGCTTTATTGTACCTCTAACATGGCTCAACATTGGGGCCACCTAAAACTGCTGGTTCTTTCCTTGGTGGCTGTTTGTCTCCACCCTGTAAAATCAACTCTAGGTTGGTAATGCCAAGGGTGCTCCCTATCTGCAGTCACTGTCCCACCCAAGAGGAAGTTCTCACCCAAGCGCTCAAAGGCATCAGCCATGGCCTGATTCCGCACCATGTCGATGAGTCCTCGGCCCAGGCAGAAGTGGGGGAAAATAAGGAAAACCCGTTTCAAGATCCGGCTCACCTCCTGCAGCTTCTGCTCAATGGCAGAAAGAGGGAGGCAGGTCAGAGGCTGAGGCCAATACCCCAACCTAGCCCAGGCCCCAGCCTCACAGCACCCCACCTGATCAGAGAAGAGTTCAAGCACGAAGGTGGCCATGCTGCCATTGATGCCAATAAAGAGGTTGATGCAGGTGAGCACCACATAGGCCGTGCTGGGCACGGAGAAGAAGAAGGAGGCGGGGTACATTAGTGGTGTGATGGACCAGCTGAGGAGATAATAAGAGTCATTGGAGTGGCCGGGCATGGTAGCTCACGCCTGTAATCCTAGCACTCTGGGAGGCCGAGGCGGGCGGATTGCTCCAGGTCAGGAGTTCGAAACCAGCCTGAGCAAGAGTGAGACCCCATCTCTACTATAAATAGAAATAAATTAATTGGCCAACTAATATATATAGAAAAAAATCAGCCAAGCATGATGGAGCATGCCTGTAGTCCCAGCTACTTGGGAGGCTGAGGCAGCGGGATTGCTTGAGTCCAGGAGTTTGAGGTTGCTGTGAGCTAGGCTGATGCCACGGCACTCACTCTAGCCTGGGCCACAAAGCGAGACTCTGTCTCAAAAAAAAAAAAAAAAAAAAGAGTCATTGGAGTAACTACTCAGACTGAGCAACCCTCAGAGAAATACAGATATCCCTTTTCATCTTTTGTGCCTTAGGTCTCTATTAATGTGAATCAGCACAAGATGAGCTTTTAAGGCCACCTTGGCATACCACTGAATTAGATCCCAAATGGGATCACCTCAGACTTCCATATCCTCTCCTTGGGAGCTGCTGTGGTGTCCCATCTCCCTCAACAGCATCTGGCATGAGTGGAAGCAGTAAGACAGGCCCTGAGGGACTGGGGGCCTCACCCGTATAGTAGTAGCAATAGCAGGAGAGCAGGCAGGTTGGCAGGAGCCACGTATGCCTTCTGCTGGAAGGCCAGAAATATGAGCACCACGATGCACGCTGGCACCAAGTAGTTACACTGCATTAGAGATGGTAGTTACCCTCATAAATGTGAAAAGGCAGGGAGTGCCACCCTCAGTCCTGTGCCCCACCCTGGCCTCCCTGCTTTTTGGGTAGGAGGGCATGATGTCTCCCACAGTCCCCAAGATGTCTTGGACAAGCCCCTGCCCAGAAGGGGCCAGAAGGGACAGTGGCAAGCAGTGGCTAGGCTCCCACCCTTCCAAGAAGCCCCCGCACCATGTCCCAGAGAAAGTTGCTGAGCCAGTAGAGGGTGGGGGGCAGACCCCCCATGAGTTGCAGGTGTTTGGCTTGGGTGACACGCTCCTCGATGAGGACAAGGGTGAAGCTGGCTGGGACGAAGGACATGGCAAAGACCACACAGATGGAGACGAGGACATCCACAGACGAGGCCATCCTGGAGGCGAGGGCATGAGGGCCGTTGTACAGTGAGGGTGTGTGGGCTGCCGAGGGCAGAGCTGAACATGCAAAGGTCTACAGGGCTGGGCACTGGTGGAGGAGATGGCGCAGGTCATTTAGGGATGGGGATGGCTGTTATTTGGCAGGAGAGGTTGTACACGTCCTTGGTAGGATAAAGGTTGCTGGGACAAGGTTGTGCAGGCTGCTGGGGGAGGCTGTGACCCATTGAGCCTGATTACGTCCCCTTACCCTGGCCAGGAGAGGGCCAGTTTCTGTTCCCTTTACATGGTGAGTGTGGCAGAGTTCAAATCCACCTGCCACCACTCAGAACAGAGACTGAGTCAGGGAAGGGCACATGGGGCCAAAGGACTCACAGTGCAACCTCAGACAGCTGCTGCTTGGTGAGGTTCAATGGGTGGTTGAATGTGGTGATGCTGTGGGCACGGCTGGTGGGGCCTGGAGGCAGGTGGGCATGTAGGAGTGCGTTGTTGGCTCGGTTGACGAAGGCCACCATGGAGTGCCAGCCTTTGTTGTTGAACCAGACCTGGGGTGGGGGTCAGGGCTATGGGGTCAGGACAACAGAGCTGGACCTTGCTCTGACCGGCTGTCTACCTGCCACCCCCAATTCCCACCTTGAGGCTGTCCCGAGCATCCAGGCTGTGAGCCCACGCTGTGAGGTTGTTCAGGACACGCTCAAGGGCCCCTCCGGGTGGGGGGCTCAGCAGTGCCCGCAGCTCCTCCACGGAGCGGCCCACCTCGTGTCCCGAGGGCAGGCCTGGGTCTCGGCCACCCAGTGAGAAGCCTCCATACCTGTGGCACCAGGCAGGCAGGGAGGGGGCAGCTGAGGGCCAGGGATGGGGGGCCTGGGAGAGTTTCCTATGGGTAGGTAGGGGGTGGGAATGGAACCGGGGCAGGGGACCCCAAACCAGGCCCTCCTCACCTGACCTCATTCACCCACTTCTTAGTCTTCAGGCTGCGGGAGAGACAGAGACAGGCAGAGACCAGGAGAGACAGGGATGGGGGAGAGGGATGGAGGAGGGGATGGCGAGAGAGATGAGGAGAGGCACCCCAGAGACAAACAAACAACAGGAGGTGAGCCGTGGGGGGCCCTCAGAAGGCCCCCAGGCTGGACGTCCACCCACCTCCTCTAGGACTAGGCCAGCACCCCCAAGCCCAGCAGAGGACCCACGCTGCGCCCCGGCAAACTGAGCCCCAGGGCGGCAGCTCACCCCTGGTACACCAGGCGCGGGTAGGTCTTGACCAGGAAGTCGGACAGGTTCCGGCCCGTCAGGTTCTGTACCACTTCCCCCGAGCTGGTCACTGCCTGGGGCGGAGGGGGTCCCCCGGCGGCCAGTGGGCAGTGGGGCAGCAGGCGGCGGACGCCGGGCCGGCTGCACTGGCAAGCTGGGGACGGAGACTCTGGGGTCCAGTTTCCGCTGGCCAAGACCTTGGCCACGCTGGCGGGAACTTCGGGCACCGAGAACCGGCAGGGGAGGGGCTCTACGCACTCTGGGGACCTGTGGGGCCAAGGCGCATGGCTGTGGGCACCCAGCTTCTGGGGGCTCCCTGAAATGTGTGGGCTCCAAGCCCCCAGGTGGGCACAGGGGATGTTCCAGGCACCCCCTGAGGCCCACTGGTCAGAGCCCAGATGGGAGCCCAAGGCCAGAGAGGGGCAAGGTGTGGGCAGGTGGGCCTCACCTGCGGGAGCTATTGTGCAGGGGGGGCTCCTCCAGTCCGGCCTCCCGCAGCAGCACTGTGAGCAGGTGGGCTCGTGCAGGGTCCCCGGGTGTGTCCTCGCTGTGCAAGGGGAGGTGTGGGGTCAGGGCTGTGTCCACAGTTGCCCCGCCCTCCTGCCATCAGCCCCTTTCCTCTGCACCCACCTGAAGAAGGACACCTGGGCGCCGTACATGGTGGGGCTGAGCCGCAGGGCCGGATAGTGCCCGAAAGGAGGTACGATGAGGCTGAACACCAGGGCCAGGCCCACAAAGAGGGCAGGCAGCACAATCTGGGAGACCAACCCATTACCTGCTACATCCACCCACTCTCAGGGTGTGCTTGCACTCATCCCTGCTCTTGCTCTAGAACCATCCATAGCTCCCCAGTGCCCTCAATCACTGTGGTCAGTGTGGGGGACACACCACATGGGGTTAAGCAGTTGAATTAGGCCACTGCATGCATGGCCAGAGTGGAGAACTGGCACTCAGGGACTCCCAAGTGCCACCCCCTGGTGCCAAGCCCCCCTCACCTGTGCGAACAGTCCGCGGCGGCTACGGCGGGCAAGCAGGAAGCGCTTGAGGAGCAGGGCCCGGAGCTGTTGGCAGGTCAGCGCCCAGCCCTGTACCAGGCCTCTGGCGTCAGTTCCAGAGCCCTTCAGGGCCTGGGTCTCCGGCACCGACCCTGTGGGGGATGGGAGGCTTGGTGCTCATGCCACAGGAGAGGGGGCCACCAGGACATAGGTGGGGACAGGGACTCACCCGGCTCTCCATTCTCCAGGGCCGACTCCTCCGGTGGCATCTTGAGCCGCATGGTAGTGCCTGGCGCAGCAGTGCCCACGCGCAGGTGCTGCTCGCTGCTGCCGTCTGTGGGGCCGTTAGGGTTAGTGTTTAGCCGGGGGTCAGGGCCCGAGTCAAGGGTTACGGATGGGGGAGGAGGGGGTGTCAGGAATCAGGGACAGAGGTCAAGGCTATGCCTTGGGCCGAATTCGGCCAGCGATTGGGACTTGGCCTCGGTTCAGATCCAACGTGGGACTGAGGTCAGGGGTCAGTGGTCAAGGAGCTGCAGCCGCACCCTCTGCCTTTGTGTCCACCGCATGGTCCTCTACCACCTTCAGGAAGATCTGAGGAGACGAAGCAGGGGCTCAGAGGCTGGACACCCCCAGGAGGGAACTCAAGAGCCCCCAACCCCTCACCCACCATGGGTCTGCAGGCCTTCCCAGGAGACCTCTAAGCCTCCAAACTTCTTCCTGTGCCATGCCTCCTCCCTGGAATGCTCTCAATAAACAAACTTCTAGTCATCCTCCAAAACCCCACCTCCTCCAGGCAGCCCTCATCCTGGCCCTGCAACCACCACCCAGCCCCACACCTCCTCGAGGCTGGTGTCCGAGATCCCGTAGCTGGCAAGCTGCAGCTCCCCCAGCCGCCCGTCCAGCTCCCGGAAGAGCTCAGCAAAGCTGCCGTCGAGGGCACCCACATAGGGCAGCACCAGCACCAGCTCGTGCGGCAGCTCCTCCACCAGTCGGGCCCCGGGCACCCAGCGCTGTACCAGGGCCAGCAGCTGGGAGGCACCTGGGCAAAAAGAGGCGGGTTCAGGGGCCCCTGCAGACCCGGGAGCCCCAGGTCCTGCCCTGCCCCTCCCATCCCAGTCTCCCTGGGGAAGGGGCCTGGGTGACCCCTGCGGGAACTGTCCCTGCAGGCAGAGGTCCGGGGTAAGAACTTGATGGAGGGATTGACCAGGATTAGAGGTCAGGGTAGGCTTGTCTCTGGGCCAGCCCGGGGCTGGGGATCGGGGGTCTAGTATGAGGTTGTGATGCCCTTTTGTCCTGAGTTAAGCCACCAACACTCCACTGCCCCCTCCCTTGGGGTCTCCCACCTGCCCTTACCCACTGGGCTGCCAGTTTTCTGTTCCTGCCTGGCATGCACGGTGTTCTCCCAGTCAGTGTCACCCTGCAGGCAACGAGGCACCAACTGGCTTCACCATGGGGCTGGACAGAGCCTCAGGGGTCAGGGGTCAGAAGGTCAGCTCTCACCTTCCCACTGGTGGTCAGGGGCGGGGGACCCTTCACCAGCGTCAAGTAGTAGCCAGAGCCCAAGTGATGACGCAGGAAGAGCGGGGAACCACAGCAGCACAGGCGGCCACCTGCCACCACCGCCACGCGATCTCCCAGGAGCTCAGCCTCATCCAGGTGGTGGGTGGAGAGGATCAGTGTGCGACCTGGGCATGGGGACCACCAGGTCTTTGCCCAAGCTGTGGCCTTTGCCAGGAGTCGCCTGCCTCGTGTGGCAGACTCCTACCCATCCCTCAAAACCCCATCCCTAGCACCTCCTTGTCAGAAACCTTTTCTGGCCCCTCAAGCAGAACCCAGGGGAACCCCTAACTTTTACCTTTGCGATATTTGAGCAGCAGATCCCAAATGCTGCGGCGGGAAGTGGGGTCCACACCAGCTGTGGGCTCGTCCAGGATTACAACGTGAGAGCCCCCCACAAAGGCGATGGCCACAGACAGCTTCCGCTGCATCCCACCTGGGCGGGGCCAGGGGTGAGCATCTCAGTGTGACCTGCCCAGCCTTGGCAGGACTGCCTACCCGCATGGAACTCAGTGCCTGGCTTCTGGTGGGCCCTTAGATGTCCCCTGGCTTCCTGCCACCCTTGGGATAAAGTCCCAGCTCCCTCCCCTGTGAAGGTGACTTCCCTGGAGGGTGAGCTCACCGGAGAGGTGGCGAGTCTGCACATGCTGCTTGGGGACCAGCCCCACGTCCTGCAGGAGACGGTCCTGCTCGGGCCCCACAGCAGCCACACTCAGCCCCTTCAACCGCCCGTAGAACCAGACGTGCTCACCCACGGTCAGCCTGTGCCAAGGGTGCCAAGTAGAGTGGCCACCGTGGCAGGCAGGGGCCCGGGGGGCACCCTGCCCCTTCCCACCCCTGCACCCCAGGCCTGCCAAGACGCACATGTCAAACAGCACGTTGTACTGGGGACAGACGCCCAGGTGGGGCCGGATGGCGTCCATGCTGGACTGGACGTCATGGCCCAGGACGAAGGCGGAGCCACCGCTGGGTGGGAAGAGACCGCTCAGGATGGACCTGGGGATATAAGGGTCTCAGAGCAGCCCCCTTCATCAAGAGAAGGGACACCAGCACTTACAGGGCACCTATTGTATGTTTAGTCCAAAGGGGTGTTATGTCCCCATTTTACAGGGAAGGGAAACTGAGGCTCAGAGAAAATACTTAATTGCCTGCCTATTGTGTACCCAAAGTGGACTGCGGGTCATGCTCCCAAATGGCTTTCCCATTGAACGGAGGGGGAAGCTGAGGCCCCAGGGAGTGGAGGGGAGGGGAGGGTCCCGCCGCTCACAGTGTGGTCGTCTTGCCGGCCCCATTGTGACCCAGGAAGGCCGTGATGTGTCCCTGATAGAAGTCCAGACTGAGCCCACGCAGGGCTGGCTGCGTACTGCCAGGAAAGCGCTTCTCCAGGCCGCGAACCGAGACTCCAGGACTGAGGCCCGGCGGCGCCTCTTCCACCAGCACTGCGGACAGGGGAGGGCGCAGGGCAGGCTCAGCTGCGGAGCCCTGGGGGTCGGCGGGGGCGGCGGGAGCTGGGCGTTGGTGAGAGCTGGTCTGTGGCATGGGGGACCTGTCAGGCCGGGGACTGCAGTGTGTTCAGGGCCTGGGGAGCTGGGGATGTCCAGGGGACCGGGGTCTGTGGAATCTCGTTTTGGGGGACACTCAGGGTTCCTACTGGGAAGCGGCTGTTAAGCCACGCCAGGCCTCACCATTTGGGTCCTGCGGGGCAGCAGAAGGGGCAGGACCCTTGGGGGCCCGGGGCCCACACCAGTAGCTCCTCCGAAAGGGAAAATTCCACGGTTCAGGGATCCCATACTGGCCTGCGAGGAAAGGCGCGCTCGGTTATCCTTGAGCCCATCCCAACCAAGAGTTGCTGGCTTCAGGCCACACACCTGGAATCAGGTATCCAGGTAGGACGTGGCCAAGAAACCCCGCCCGCCCGCCCAGGCCCCGCCCGCCCGCCCAGGCCCCGCCCCCCACACGCGCGCATGTGCCAGAGAGCCCCACCCCTTCAAGCGGGAACCAGCCTCCAGGTGCCAAATGGCCCGGAACCCCTCCCCCCACGGCCCACCTGGGCACACAGCCTCCAGGTACCAGGTGGCGAGGCCGTAGAGCGCGGCATCCAGCAGCAGAAGGCCCGAGACCTGGGCCAGGCTGAAGACGTCTCCGGTGGGCCCGGTGCCCACGTTGTGCCACTGCGCGCCCTCACCCTGCTCCTCCAACAGCGCCAGGCTCTCACAGCCGAAGCCGAAAGCCACGGGCGACAGCAGACTCTGTGGACGGGGCCGGAAGGGTCAGCCGGTGACCGCCGCCCGCGGCGTCCCTCACCAAGCCCGACCTGACCCTCACCGCAGCCACGCGGCCGCCCGTGGGCAGCCGGTCCCGCCAGGCCACGCACAGCACGTAGGGCAGGTAGAGCGCGAAGTAGGCCAGGCCGCCGCAGGCCGCTGCCAGGTTGGCATGGGAAAAGAAGGTGCTCAGTAAGAAGCTCTGGACCACCGTGGCCACCGCGAAGGCCGCCAAGAACAGGAAGACCACGACCGGGTGGCTGTAGGGGAGGATGTCCCCCAGCTGCGGGAGGCAAGGGGAACTCAGGGTCGGGCGCTTGGATTGGCCCCACCGACGCCTCCTGCAGATCACTCCCCGCGCACCCATTCTGCAGCCGGGAAGGCCCAGGCGCACCCACCTTGAGCACCAGCACCAGCAGCGCGGTGCTGAGAAGAAAGGGCCCCAGGCAGCCGAGAAACCAGCCCAGCCACAGCACGGTGCGGCTGAGCCCCATGGCGCGCATGGTGTCGCGCAGCCGCGTCTCCTTCTCGCGCACCACGGCCTTCACCGTCAGCGCCACCGAGTAGATCCAGGCCAGCGTCAGGAAGAGCGGCAGCGACCGGCTCAGCACACGCAGGAACCTGGACAGGGGACAGCTGGGGTGGAGGCTGGAGACCCTCCGCACGACCCCCATCTAACTGAACCGTTGGTGTCCAGGGATCTTAAGGCGCCCTGCTCTTCCTGCGACAGGTCACAGGAGTGGTCCCCCTGAACCAGCAAGTGGTTCGCAGCCTTGACCGCCCGAGTGTTCCAAGCAGAGCCCGAGCCCCACCCTAAGACCCGGGACCTCGCGGCTGGGGTACGGAGTGGGGAGGGTCTCACGCGTCGTCCACGTAGCACGGGTAGGGCATCTGCTGCAGGTAGAGGCCGGCGCGAGGGGCGGCGCCGCTGAGCACGCGGACGGCTGCACGCTCCAGCAGGTCCTGCAGGTACACGAAGCCGCCCCACACGTAGCGCAGGTCAGTTAGGGGGTCCGCGGCCGGACCTGGGTCCCAAAACCTGCGAGAGGGGCGCGGTGGTCGGCTGCAGCGGACTGGAAACTCCCCCAGCCCGGCTCCTCCTAACCTTAGGTCTGTCTGTATCCTGCGGGCTCAATTACGCGCTCGGCCCCGCCCTCCACGTCCTCGGTCCCAGCACACACAACCTGCATTTGTGTCCCGGGTCCTCGCCCCGCCTCTCACGCGCATAGGCCCCGCCTTTCACCAACCCCAATTGGTCTAAGGAGCCCTGGGCTCCGCCTACCATGCCTCGTCCGGCCCAGGTTCCGTCTATCTCGGTTTCCTATTGGCTGAATGCTCCAAGGCCCCGCCCATTAGCCTTGCCCCCCCCGCCCCGGCCCCGCCCCCACCTGTCCCTGATCTTATTGGTCCTGGTGACAACGTCAATGTCCATGCGGATCTTGATGCGCACGTGGCCGGGGCCTGGGCCTGGGGCTGGGTTATCTGCGGGGTCCGGGGAGTCCTCGGGCCCCAAGAAGACGACGCCGGCCCAGAAGCGGCGCTCCGCGAGCAGCTGCAGAGCCCGCGACACCAGAGCCGCCTCTGAGGGCGCTGCCTCCAGCTTGTCCAGGGACACGCACTGCGGGGCGGGCGGGTGAGTCGGAGGCGCTGGGGTTTGCCCGCCCCTCCAACCCCTCCTCTCCCGCGACCTCGGGGGCCTGCCTCCCCGTCAGACCTCAAGGAAGCCCAGGTGTCTCCATGCTCAGGCTCTCCCTGGGACAGGGCTCGCCTCTGCCCTCGGAACGCCAGCTTGGACTCTGCCTCCCCCATCAGACAGAGGTCCCCAGGTGCACGGCCCCTTCACCTCCATCACATGGCCCAGCGTGGTCACCAGGCGTCCCACATCGGCATGGGCGTCCCTCCAGCTGTAGCCGCCACGGCCAGGGTCCAGAAAGGATTGAAGGGCCTCCCTGCGGTCGGGGCCTCCAGGGGCTGGCTGCCTCTTCCCTTTGTCCTGCACTTGCAAGAGCCTCTGGGGGGTGGCAGGTGAAGGTGGGGGTCAGCATCGCATCCTCCTTCCTATTCACCGGGAAGGGACGCCCCCACCCCCAAGCTGAGCCCGCATCCTGGCCCCACCTCACCTGCAGCACGGCCACATTTGCACTGTTGTTCATGAAGGTGAAGATCTGGGGTCCCAGCACGCCCCAGGCCTCCTGGACGTCCTGCAGCAGAGCCAGCTCCTCGAAGGTCCGGTTCACCTGCAGAAAGGTGGGCAACAAGGTCAACCCAGGCCCTGCCCACTCATGACCTTCGGTCTTCTGAGGACCCCTGCACACCTCCCCTGAGCCTTTGCACGTGCCGGGCGCCCTGCCGTCTGGCAGACTTCTATAAAACCCAGCTTCTGGGGCCCTCCCACCTGGCCCTGCCCCAGCTCGGCCAGCCCCCTCTTGACCCAGCAGTGCAGCTGCCATCACTCACCTCTGCCATGAGCTGCCTGGTGAAAGGTGTGTCAGGTGCAAACAGCAGTTTCCCCAAGAGCAATGGCTTCACGTGCCTCCAGAGTAGGCGGGACAGTGGGTGGTCCCCCAGGGTTCCAATCAGCTCAGAGCAGGCGGGGCCTGGGGTGGGGGAGGCATGAGGCCCCGCCCCCGTGACCCCCCTCCACTTCCCAGTTAGGGAAACCGAGTCAGTCACTCACTCAGGTTATTGTCCGGCAGGGCCGATGCTGGCTCCGGCCCCACCAACTCCCGAATGTCACTAGCCTCGTACCAGTTGAGAGAGGGGCCCCCTGGGCTGCTGGGCCCCCTGGCACTGCAGAGGGCTTCTGACACTAACTCCAGAGGGCCACCTGTCCCTTGGGGTCTCCGCAGCAGTGTCCGAAGCTCCGCCAGGCTGGGCAGTGCCAGAAGCTAGAGAGAGGCCACCAGAGGGCGCAAGTGACCCCTCTGCACGATCCCACCTGCAACCCCTTTTTTGAGACAGTCTTGCTCTATCGCCCAGGCTGGAGTGCAGTGGCATCATCATAGTTCACTGTAACCGCAGACTCCTGGGCTCAAGCCATCCTCCTGCCTCAGCCTCCTGAGTATCTGGGACTACAGGCTCGCGTAATGATGCCAGGCTAATTTTTCTATTTTTAGTAAAGACTAATTTATCTATTTTTTTAAGTAGAGATGGGGTCTCACTCTTGCTCAGCCTGCTGTTGAACTACTGAGCTCAAGTGATCCTCCTACCACTGCCTCCCAGAGTGCTGGGATTACAGGCCCGAGCCACCATGCCCAGCCCCACCTCCAATCCTTCACCTTAAGCCAGGTGGGCACCCTGCCAGGAGCACCCTGAAAACCTGCCCAAGGGAAGTGCCCAGGGCTGCCCTATCATCACCCCACCCAGGCAGCCTGTCCTTATTGCTTCCTGGCAGGGTCGAGGTTGGGTGGCACCTCTTACCTCCAGGGCCAGGTCCTCAGCTGCCTCCACAAAGCTGCCCAGGGACTCCTGGGCTTGGCTCAGCACAGACCCCAGGGATTCCTGGGGAGAAAGAACAGGACAAAAGTGACAATGATCTTGATTGAGGGCTCACTAGAAGTTACTCTGCCCAGTTCCCAGGTAGCTCATACTATCACTGTCCTCATTTTGCAAATAGGAAAACTGAGGCTCTGAGAGGCACACGGGCTTGTACAAGGTCTCATGGACTGGAGTCTTCATTACCAGGCCAGACACAGGCTGTCCCGGCACAGACAGGTGCCAAGGGCAGTCCAAGCAAAGCCCTAGAGGCTGGCGTCAGAGGCCAAGGGAGGGGAGGCAGCTGGCCAGGGATGGGACAGTGCCAGGACCTCCTATGAGCAGCATCCCGGAGAGTCAGCCTGGTCCCACCCCTCCCCACCCCGCTCTGCCTCACCCCCTGCAGCAGCGACGCCAGCAGCTCAGTGGGCAGGGAAGGTTGCTGCTGTGTCCGGTCACTCTGTCGAGGCTGGGCTTTGGGGAGGAATGCAGAAAGGCACAAGGTTAGACACGTCCCCCCTTAGCCTGAGGCACCCACCCCCTCCCTGTGCCCATTTCAAAGCCAGAGAGTCCAGGCTCAGAGCTCAGCCTGGCCAGGGGACCCTGCCCTGCTCACCTGCGCTGTGTGTGGTCCTCAGCATGGGTATCACCTTCCTCAGGCCAGCCAGCGTCCTGTGGGCACTGGGACCCCCCAGCACGGTGCGGGCATCAGCTAGGAGCCGGGAGACCCTGGGGACAGAGGGAGGGCAGGAGGTGGGGTTCCAGGGGGCACTGCCACACCCCAAGCCTGCAGGCCTGCACCCACTGCCTCTGCTCACAGGGAGTCGTTGAAGTTGTTGAGGAGCCCGGCCTCCTCGCCCGGCGTTGGGTGCAGGAAGCAGGTGTTGTTCACATTGCAGATGAGGCCCTGGAGCCAGGGCACGGTGCCCGCCGATGGCAGAGGCTTGTTGGGGAAGTGGCCTGTGGAGAGAGGAGCCCCCTGGTCTGACCACCCCCCCATGGCTTGCACACCTCCACAGACAGAGCTCACACTCATGCCACCTACTGGGCGTCCCTGTGCACAGGCTGACCCATCTGCCTCCCCCCAAGGGAGCTTACATTCATGGTGCTCCAATGGGGGATGGGAGTGGCGTACTGCCACCAAGATGAAGAAGAGAAAGAGAGGCCACAACAACTCGACCAGGAGCTGGAGCTGGCAGGGAGAACAGGCGGGAGATGGTGGGGGACAGCGGTGGGGGGAGGTGCCAGCCGGCCCCGCCCGCCCCGGCCTGGCATTACCGGTTGTCTCCGGCGATATGTGAAATTCTTCCAGAGCAGCAACATCAGCTGTGTCCAGAAGGCCATGGTGGAACTGGACAGGGAACAGGGCAGAGAGGTTAAGGCAGAGAGACTGAGGACATGCTGTGTGGCTGCAGGCAACTGTCTGCCCCTCTCTGACCCTCATTCCTTTATCCCACTGTGCAGGGCTCCTGGAAGCTCTGATTAGAGTGAGGCAGACGGATGGGGGGAGTAAGCCAACGGGAGTCCTTCCCAAAGCAGCCCCTGTCAGGACTGCCTCCCTGCAGGCTGGGGTCTCCAAGGTCTGGAGGGCCAGCCTCTAATCCTGGGGGTGGGGGGAGCCTTGGCTTAACACCTTGTCACTGAGCTCCACCCCTAGCCCCACCTACGGGCCTCTTCCAAGTCCTGGCCCCGAAGCCTCATCCCTGACCTGGGAAAGGTTCCTGTCCCCTTCACTGTTCCCCAGAGATAACAGCAACGAACATGTCACACGCCTGGGTGGAAGTGATACACCATCACCCCACTTATGGGAGCCCAGGGAGCAAGCCTGGGCTCCCAGGGAGACAGGTGGGACCCGGCAGGACACAGGGCCCCAGCTCTGCCCACCCCTCTGTGTCACTGATTGCTCAGAAGGACAGCAAGACCCAGGAGAAGGGACAGGGATAGAAGCTCCTGGAAGCAGCAATTCCTGATCTTGGCATCCCTTGGCACAGATGGGGAAACTGAGGCTGCCAGAGGGGCAGGAAGTTGCTGAAGGTCATCCATTCATCCAGGCCGGAACCAGGACCTAGGACTCCGACCCCCACACTAGGACTCTTTCCTTTTATCGGGTAAAATTTAGGATATGGGGGAACAGCCTCAGTTTTCCCATTTGTAAAATGGGGGCGGGGGCTTTGGAGGAGTGCTAGAGGGGAGAGGGGCTGCAGATAGGTGTATGTTGCCAAAGACCCCTCAAGGGATCTAGGCGCATGGCTCTTTGAGAATTAGGGTTCAGCTCAGCTGACCCCAACACTCACCCCGAGGAAGGGAAGGGCGAGTGAGGTTCTAGACCCCCTAATTCCCAGGAGCTCGCTTCCCTCCCACTCCCTACCCCTGCATTCCCGAGTCTCGGGCCTTCCGCCCTGTCTGGGTCCCTCTCACCGTTCCAGGACCCCACCCAGCTCTTGCCGCCTTCCCAACGCCCGACAGCGGCCAGGGAGCGCGGCCCCTTTAAGAGGAGCCCTGCCACGGGCGCGGCGCCCCTCGGTTGCGGACTAGCCCCAGCATCCCCACGCCCCGGCCGCGCCCGACCCCGGCCCCGCCCCTGCCCGCTGCTATTGGCTGCCGTGCCTGCCACTCATCGGCCGGCCCCGCCGGAGCCGCGGAAGCCGAGGGAGGAGGCGGGATCACAGCAGGGCCTCGCGGAGCCGGGTTTCTTAAAGGGACCACGCTCCTCTTGCTGCATCGCTGGGTGATGGGGTGCCCAGCTGGTCCCCAGCGGACCTCCGGGCACGAGGCTAGGCCGTCCTTGGGGATCCGGGCACGAGGCTAGACCATCCTTGGGGATCCAGGCCGTGTTCCTACCGCACAGCCGCCTGCAATACTGTTCCCCACTGTCCCTGGGTCAGCCTCGCTCTCAGACGCTGGGGCTGTATTTGTCCATCCGTAGAATGGGGGTTCGACCAGTCATCGTTCCTTCGCCCCTCCACAAACTTTCCTTGGTCCCCACGGCGGGCAAGGCAATGGCAGAGGGAGGAGGGCCCCCCCACATTCTAAAACTAGTCTTGGGTCATAATGGCAACCCCACTAATGCTTCAGGCCCGGGGACACTTCAGGGGATGGAAGTGAGGATGAAAGTGTGTGGACCCACAGCTCTGACGGTGCTGGGAGAGCAAGACTTGTGGGGACAAGGAGGTGGGGCTTTGAGGGTGAATAGGAGTTGGCCAGGGAGGGAACTCCAGGCTGAGAGACAGGCACAAGCAAAGGCCTGGAGGTTTGATGGTGGAGGGAGGGCAGATTGGGCCGGGGTGTGGGATGCGGCTGGGGACTTCCCCTTCCTTTCTAACTGGTGGGAGCCCGGCCTCCTCCCTTAACCCTGGTCCTGGCCCACAGAATCACTCCCTCAACCCGGGCTCAGTTGGGCCTCAGCTTCTCCCTCTCCCAAGGCTGCTGTGGCCATTTCTCCTTGACCCCACCCCTTATCCTGCAGGCCCCCAGAAAAGTTCAAAGCAAAACAGCCCCCTCCCCACTAAGGTTAAGTTCTACTACAGCTCTCAGACACTTCCTTTCCTAAAAACAGAGGTTTTTATTGCTCTTGGTCCACAGTCCATATTTCACATTATCTCACAGTCCTGGGGCCCGGGTCGGGGTCCCCGTGCAGTACTGGCAGGTGGGACACAGGGTAGAAAGGGGAGAAGGGAGATGGGGGCTCTTTAAAACCTACTGAGGGCTGGGCGCAGTGGCTCAGGCTGTAATCCTAGCATGCTGGGAGGCCCAGGCAGGTGCCTCTACTAAAAATAGAAAAATTAGTGGGGCATGTGCAGTGGCTGGCGCCTGCAGGCCCAACTGCTCGGGAGGCTGAGGCAGGAGGATTGCTTGAGCCCAGGAGTTGGAGGTTGCAGTGAGCTACGATGATGCCACTGCACTACATCCAGGGTGAGATTGAGACACTGTCTCAAAAAAAAAACAAAACCTAATGAGGCTCCACAGGGGGTGGGGGCAGGAGTTTGGGGAGGGGCTTTGCCTTAACCATTCAGAACTCCATTGTTGTGCATAGGCCTCAGTTTCCCCACAGGGGTCCCTGGGCCAGCTCAGGGTTGTTGGCCTGAGGGTCCTAAGGAAATCCAGTTGCTCAGGATCCTAAAATAATTTAGGACTATGGCCTGGCTGCCTCCCAGGGAACCCACTTCCCAGCACCCCTCCACAAACCCCACCCCATTCCCTTGGGGGAAAAAAAATACTTTTCTTTCGTTAAAACTTCCTGAAACTTCTGTGGGTACACAAACCACAAACTGGTTGGTAGACAAAAGGGAAGAGAAGGAGTTGAAACCGGAAACCATTTGGGGGCCAGTTCCCCTGCCCATGCAGGTCTCTCCTGCCCCATACGGCTCAGCTCAGCGCGGAGCCAGGCTCAGCCCACTGGCTGCCTGCAGGGACCACTCCTACCCCCCCAAGCATCTGGATGCAGCCCCTTCGCCCTCAGCCTGGTGGCTCAGTCCTGCAAGGCAGGTGGGATCTGCCGCCTGGTCCCACCCAGTCGCTACAGACCCTCGGCTGGCAGCACTGAACATGTTAAAAAAGAAAAAGAAAAGACAAAAACATAGAAAAACCCCAAAACCCAGACAGGATGATGACGTGGGGAGACAGCATGCACGGCGGCTCAGTAGCCAGCCTCCTCCTGGTAGTAGGGGGGATACTCCGGGGCCTCCCCGGGGCCTGAGCAGTCGCTGGCACCTGGTGGGGCCCCATCGGCCGCTGGGCCTTGTGGGCAGTACTTGGGATCATATATCTGCCGGCCCAGGCCAAAGACCTGGCCGCTCTGGTTGGCACCCTGCGTGTAGCCCATCTGCAGGGACATGGAGGAGTTGTCACACTTGTCGGTCCCTAGCTTGGTGTCATAGATGTGCCGTCGGGTCCCAGGAGCTGTCATGCCCACCTGGAGAGGGAGGAGAGAGTGTCGTGAGGCAGGACAGAAGAGGGGACCTTTCCTGAATTCCCACACCGTTTCCCTCCGCCTTGCCTATGCACTCAGGGTGCGGAACTCTGGTGGCCCCCCAAGCTTTGCTCGGACACCCCTTCCTTTCTGACTGTGCTGAGCATGGACCTTCATTACCAGGGACCCTCTCCCCTGCCTCAGCCCTGACCACCTGGAACCAGGAATGTCTGGGTCCAGCTCTCTCCCTGCCAGCCAGGAAGCTCCTCCTGGTGGCAGCTGAGGTCTCCTGGGGCTCTGAGGTCTCCAGAACATTGATACTGATCTAAAAACATCAGAATTGGGTGGACTTTTGGCCAATCCTTGTGGGAAACTGGGGCCCAGAGTGAGGCAGTGACTTTCCCAGGGACACACAGCAAGTCGGAAAGAGAGTGAGGCTGCAGAGACAGAGAGGGAGGAGGGAAACCCAGAGTGGGGTTGGCAGCAGGAGGTGCTCTGGAGGACAGGCTGGGGACAGGCAGGGACGGGCTGAGCCCACCTGGCTGGCACATTTGTTCGTGCCCATCTGCAGGCTGATGGTTGAGTGGTCCATGGGAGGCAGGATATGGTTCTTGGGGTCGTAGAGATGCCGCCGCGTGCCGTACGCTGTCATGCCCGACTGGCTGGCACATTTGTTGGTGCCCATCTGCAGGGCGGTGGGCAGGAGGGGTCAGGCCGCTGCCCCCACTGGCCTCCATCCCCTCCCCCAGACTTGAGGGGGTCCTAGGGATCAGGCGTGGAGTCGCACTGAGCCCCTGCCCTCGCTGCTGGGCCCCGGGCCACCCGCACCTGCAGCCCAATGACACACTGGCCCGCCTTCATGGTGGCGTCGTCGAAGTTCCGCTCCTGCTTCTCCGAGTACTTGACCCCGATGTCCACGCCGCTCTGCAGCCCCTTGGTCTTGGCCTGGCGGGGGAGAAAGCGGGAGGATCAGAGACGGGCAGCCGGGGCCCCAAGTCCAGCCCCAGGGGACTCTGCACACACGTGACGGAGCTCCCGGCCACCCCCGGCATGGGCAACAGCAGACACAACCTTCTGGGGCTCAGAACAAGAATTCTGGGGCATCCTCCCTTGTCCCCCTCTCCTCTTCCACCACCTCCTTCTACCCAGCGGCCACCTTGGTCCCCCTCTCACCTGGACGTCAGCCCCTGGCCCCCCCCCTGACCTCACGCCCCATGTGGCAGCCACAGGGGGTTTCTGAAAATGCATTTGGAGCACAGATCGCCAATGGAAAAACCTCCTCCCTATTCCCGCAACACTCCAACCCAGTCTCCTTTCCTTCTGCCTGATTCACTGTTTCGACCCACGAAGAACGTGGACACATCTGCAGCCACCTTGCCTGCTGTGTGACTCCAGGCAGGTTGCTGCCTGTCTCTGGGCCTCACCTTCCCCGCCAGGGCCAGAAGAGACACCTGCACCTGCGTCATGTTCCCACTCTCAAACAGGTCGTTGGCCTCGAACAGGTCCACAGGGTTCATGCCGTAGCTGACCATGGCCTTGATGAAGTTGGAGAGGTTTTCTAGCTGGGAGGGGACAGGAGAGGGATGGTGAGTGGACCTCAGTCTACCCACCTGCCAAGTGGGGTCCTAACTCCACCCCGCCAGTCCCTCACCTGGTGCCAATTCTGCATGGAGCGGTTGATCTTGGGGACTGAGCCTGGCTGCAGCTTGTTCATGAGTCTGGGGGGGAGGGAACAGGAACCGCGTTAGCACAGGGGAGCCCCAAAGACCAGGCTCCTAGTCTCAGCCACACTCACACCTTCCTGGGAAAACCTCTCCCTGAGCCTCAGCCTCTCTTCTTTTTTTTTTTTTTTGAGACAGAGTCTCACTTTGTTGCCCAGGCTAGAGTGAGTGCCATGGCGTCAGCCTGGCTCACAGCAACCTCAATCTCCGGGGCTCAGCGATCCTACTGCCTCAGCCTCCCGAGTAGCTGGGACTACAGGCATGTGCCACCATGCCCGGCTAATTTTTTGTATATATATTTTTAGTTGGTCAATTAATTTATTTCTATTTTTGGTAGAGACGGGGTCTTGCTCAGGCTGGTTTCGAACTCCTGACCTTGAGCAATCCGCCCGCCTCGGCCTCCCAAAGTGCTAGGATTACAGGCGTGAGCCACCATGCCCGGCCTTTTTTTTTTTTTTTTGAGTCAGAGTCTCACTCTGTTGCCCGGGCTATAGTGCCGTGGCATCAGCCTAGCTCACAGCAACCTCAAACTCCTGGGCTCAAGCAATCCTCCTGCCTCAGCCTCCTGAGTAGCTGGGACTACAGGCATGCGCCACCATGCCATGTTTCATGTGCAAAACTGGGGAATGTTTGAAGGACGGTTGAATAGAACACAGCAAGCAAAGGCCTCCGGAAACTATTCTCCCACGAAAGGGTTGGTAAGAATGCTCCCCGAGGCCGGGCGCGGTAGCTCACGCCTGTAATCCTAGCACTCTGGGAGGCCGAGGCAGGCAGATTGCTCAAGGTCAAGAGTTCGAAACCAGCCTGAGCAAGAGCGAGACCCTGTTTCTACTAAAAATAGAAAGAAATTAATTGGCCAACTAATATATATATATAGAAAAAATCAGCTGGGCA